GAATTCAAGATGGCGACGGTATAGCACTCAAGCTGGGGCCACGGTGACAAAATTCTTAAATTATATATGATCGGTTGTAGTTGGACTGTGGCTGACTGTGTGAGGATGAATATAAAGTGAAATGACAGCGGAAAAGGGCAGGATTCCCGGTACTGTGACGATAAAAGTGATTTTTTCGTGCGTTTAAAAATCGCGCCAATGAAACAATGAAAAGGGGAAGACAAAGGACTTCCCATAGTTCATCATCCAGTACAGAAAACACACCGTTGGCCAAACTCCACATCAAAGAGAGCAATATGGATAAAAGCTCAAGGAAAAAAGAGGGTGACAAATATCTCATTACAGACAATACCGAAATCAGGGACATTATCAGTGATTGTTTGGCAAAGTTCGAAGATAAACTGGACGCCATTACAAAAACCTTCAAAGATTCTCTCAAACAAGTTGAGATTTCGGTTAAAAGTCTCGATGAAAATATGACCCAACTGGACGAGAAAGTAAGTGCTCTTGAAACTGAGAACAATGTGCTAAGAGAACAACTCAATATTAGCGAGCAGAGAGTACAAAGCCTACAAAGACAAGTCGACACGGATCACCAGATAATGATAAATCTACAAACGAGATCCATGAGAGATAACCTACTATTTCATAACATTCCCGAGACTGGACCGCAGGAAAACGTGGAGAATACACTGAGGCAGGTGCTGATTCAACAGATGAAGATCCCCGCGGAAGAAACCGTGTCTTTTGATAGGGTTCATCGCATTGGATCGGTAACTAACAGACCCAAACCGCGGGCAATAATAGCAAAATGTACGACATTCCATGACAAAAGAACTGTTATGAAATATACCAAAAATCTGAAGGGCACCTACATAAGGATAACTGACCAGTATCCCAAGGAGGTGGAAGAAAGAAGAAGAACGCTCTATCCCGTCATGAAAGAATTAAGGGCAAAAAATATCAAACACAGGTTAGTGGGCGAAAAACTCTATATAAATAACTCCTTATATACCCCAGATGATCGCAAGCCCGATAACTGTCTAAAAAACCTACCAACACATAGGAAAAACCATCGACATGAAATAAAGTTCTCTGAAAAGAAAACTAAAGCAAAGGGTAACTCCTTTATGGGAATCTCTACAAGAGTGAATTCAGTCGAAGACGCACAATCTGCGCTTGCCTCCATAATAGCAGGCGGTCAAGTAAGCGGAGCCTCGCTTGTTTACGCCTACAGAATAAAAAGTGGCGGTACCTGGACAGTATATTACAATGACAATAACGATGTAAGTGTAGCCAAAACACTGGCCAACCTCCTAGAAGCCAAGAGGGTAGAAAATAGATTGATTGTAGTGTCAAGGGTGCTTGGACAGCACTTAAATTCAGAGAGATTCAGTTATTATCAAGAGTCTGCAATTGACGTTCTCCAATTAGATTAGATCGTGTAGGCTAGGTTAGTTTGTTTGATAAGATGTATATATATATATATATATATATATATATATATATATATATATATATAGTCAAACGCTTGTGTGGGTGAGCTGCTTCTATGGTGAATATATGTACAGATTATCTGTGTCTCGGTTGTGTACTTGATAGTAATAATTGTATATAGTTTTGAGTTATTGATCATATATTTTTATAATACAGGTATTCACGAGGCGTCTTGCTGATGTGGGCACCGGATGACCACACACTCTCGTTTCTCGAGATACGGTATGCTGTTATACATGTGGTACTACTAGCTAAGCTATTGACAATACATGCAAATATAAGATGTATTCAACAATGCTCAATTTTCATTGTCGGTTGGTATACGTACGCTCCGAATAGAAAGGGACATCGTACCTATTGGGAGTATTTGGCTACGATTATGTGCACATTGCTCAATATATATATTGCTTAATAGGCAATGACGGGGAACTAAACTCCTATAATTATTCGCTCATGTCACAAACGCAAAAAGGGCCCCTTGGTGTCCCAGCCGACATGTGTAAAATAGAACATACCGATATTTTACAATTTGTAACAACAATACAATCACCGTGTCTGTGCACGTGACCGACGGCTAGTTGATGTATGCAAGCGTCGTGAGTGTTACCACTGCTTTGTCTTTTCTAGGACTCGTAGTACGTCCTAGGTATTTTGTAGAGATGACTCGTGTATTGTGGATATGTGTGTGTGTGAACGTTTGTGTTAGTGTGTATGTCAAAATGGACAGTTTACAGCTCATGTTATTCTGTGTAAGTGAAAGGGAATATCTAGCAAGTGTAAGTGCGAGAGGTTCAAGGCGTACGCCCTTACCTCGGATAAGCTGTTGCACTACAGTATAAGATAGCCTACAATGACAAATTATGTTAATTTTACCTTTTTTCTTATACTCGTCCACTAGTAGAATTAATGTGTACTTATTGCATTATATTTTTATGTTGATGATAGGTGGAGCTATTTGGAAGAACGGTGCCAATCTGGTGGTGGTAAAAAGTTGTTTTGAGGTAAGAGCGATGAAAAGCAAAATAAGGGAAAAAGCTAACCTCGACATTTATTAGAGCCGTATATTCAAATGACAAGTTGTATTAAGATTGTTTCCGTTAACTGCCAGGGTCTTGGGGATAGACAAAAAAGGAAAGACATATTTTCTTATTTAAGGCAACAGAAATATGATATCCTATGCCTACAAGACACACATTTTACGTCAGAAATAGAATCAAGGGTTAGGTCTGAGTGGGGATATAAGGCCTATTTTAGCTCGTACAGGTCGAACTCGAGGGGTGTCGCTATACTTTTAAATAACACTGCCGATGTTAAAGTAATCAGTGAAAAAAAAGACGATGCGGGTAACTTTCTATTACTAAATTGTTTATTAGAAGATAGAAAAGTGACATTGATCAATATATATGGTCCAAATCTTGATTCTCCCGACTTCTATAAACAGATAGAATTGGGGCTACAGGATACCGATAATGAGTACTCTATTATCTGTGGTGATTTCAACTTGGTTTTAAATCCAGAAATAGATTATGATCAGACATATCGACATATAAACAACCCAAAAGCAAGAAAAAAAGTATTAGAACTTATTGAAATTTATGGTTTAGTTGATGTGTATAGAGAACAACATGAATGTTATAAGAGATATACTTGGAGGAGAAAAAATCCCATTAAACAAGCGAGACTAGATTTTTTCCTTGTGACAGAAAACCTTGTAAGAAGTATTAAAAACTCATATATCGAATCGAGTTATAGATCCGACCACTCCATTGTAGGGATTAATATTGAATTTAACCCATTTAGGAAAGGTAAAGGGTTATGGAAATTCAATAATTCTCTGCTTGATGATTTAGAATATATAGACAATATAAAACAACTTATTAATAATATAAAAATCCAGTATGCACTTCCTGTCTATAACCTAAATAATATCTGCTCAATTCCGGACTCTGACATACAGTTTACCGTAAATGATCAACTTTTTCTTGAGACCCTACTTATGGAGATCAGGGGCAAAACCATTTCCGTTTCATCTTATAAGAAAAAATTAGTTGACGACAGAGAAAAAAAATTGATAACAGAAATAAGCAATTTGGAGAGAAATTACAATCTAAACGCAAATAATATAGAGAGATTACAAGAGGAACTAAAATACATCAGGGAAAATAAAATAAGGGGTAGTATGATAAGATCCAGGACAAAGTGGCTGGAAGAGGGTGAAAAACCCACTGAATATTTTTTAAACCTAGAAAACCGAAATTTCACTTCAAAAATAATACCTAAGATAGTTAAAGATAACGGAGAAGAAATTACTACCCAAACATTAATTTTAAAAGAAATTAAATGCTACTACGAACAGTTATTTGCAGAGTCTAATGAAGTGATTGATGTTGACTTAAGCACAATTTTACCGCACAATTATCCATTGAGGCTCACAGATGTTGAGTCAAGTGAACTAGAGGGTATAATTAGTCTAAATGAAGCCTCCCAAATTCTGAAAAAAATGAAAAGTAATAAGAGTCCAGGCTCGGATGGGTTCACTGTCGAATTCTTCAAGGTATTCTGGTCACAGCTCGGCAATTTTGTTGTTAGATCCATAAACTGGGGTTACTCGACTGGTCAACTTTCAATTACACAGCGACAAAGTGTAATTACGTGTCTCCCTAAGGGTGAAAAGCCCAAGCAATACTTGAAAAACTGGAGACCGATCTCTTTGTTAAACGTTACCTATAAAATAGCCTCCGGAGTCATAGCATCCAGAGTCAAGAAATACCTGGGCAAACTTATTTCAGACGATCAATGCGGTTTTATATCCGGGAGATACATCGGGGAAAGTATCCGTACTGTATACGATATTATGCAATATACAGAAGATAACGATATTCCTGGAATGTTAGTGCTATTAGATTTCGAAAAGGCCTTTGACGCTGTGTCGTGGAAATTTATTGACAGGGTACTAGTTTTTTTAAACTTTGGTGAAAGTATTATCAAATGGATAAATACTTTTAATAAGGGTGCACAAGCAGCAATAAATCAAGGAGGCAATCTCTCAGAGTCCTTTTACATTAAAAGAGGCTGCAGGCAGGGAGACCCAATAGCCCCCTATTTGTTTATTTTATGCGCGGAAATACTCTCAATAATACTCAAGAATAACAATAATATAAAAAGCATCACTATTGATGACGCCCCCATTTTATTAACTCAATACGCAGACGATACGACTGTGATGCTTGATGGCTCAGAAAAGTCTTTATCCGAACTTATGATTGAATTAGATAAATTTTCAAAAATATCAGGGTTGAAAATAAACAAAGATAAAACAAAAATAGTATGGATAGGACGTATGAAGTTCAGTAATTTAAAATTTTTGCCACATATGCATCTTGATTGGGGAAAGCACCAGTTTAATCTTTTAGGAATTGAATTTCATGTTAATCTATTTCAAATCCCCAAACTTAATTTTGATAAGAAATTAGTAAAAATTAAGTCTATTCTTAATGGATGGAACAGAAGAATGATCACCCCCATCGGCAAGTGTATAATTATAAAATCCTTAATAATTTCCCAATTAAATCATTTGTTTATATCCTTACCGAATCCTAGTCAAAGGTTTATCAATGACCTTCAGAGTGACCTCTTCCACTTTTTGTGGAACTCAAAGATCGATAAAGTTAAGCGGGATATAATTATTAAAAATTACGATGAAGGTGGTATCAAAATGATACACTTGCCTTCACTGATATCATCACTAAAATTAACATGGATTAGACGTATTTATACAAAAAGGAAAAAATGGCAAATTATCGTAGCTAAATATCTAAATTTTGAACTTTTGTCAGTGGGTGGTAATGAGTATTTGAATAAATGTCTAAAAGTTTGCCAAAACCGGTTCTGGGGGGATGTGTTACTTGCATGGAAAGAACTCAGGGTTAAGGAAGACAAGTTAAGGGGGAAAAACAAGCCCGTGTTGGACACCCCTGTCTGGTATAATGAAGCCCTAAGAGTAGACAGTAAGGTAATATATTATAAGCACTGGTTTAATAAAGGTATATCTGCAATAAGGGACTTTATAAAAGACACTAAAACAATTACCTTTTTCTCACAAGAAGAAATAAATAAGCGATATGGTATTCAGACCAACTTCCTAGAATATCAAGGGGTGGTAAGCATTATTAAGCGATACTTGAAATTACATGATATAAACGAATCTGAAGTAATGCTCCCTAAACTCCCAGAGTATTTAAGTATCTTCTTTAAAAGTAAGAAGGGCTGCCAAGATTTTTATAAAATACTTAGTAAGAATGCTTCTATTTCAAAGGGCAAAATTAATTGGAATAAATTGTTTAATATTAATGACAAAGAGTGGTCTCTAATAAATAAACTGCCTTTCAACCTTCCTATCAGTCCTAAATTTAAATGGTTCCAGTATAAAATAAATCAACATATATTACCGACAAATAGTTATCTTGCAAAAACTGGTTTGGTTAACACCCCCCTTTGCAAAAGGTGCGAGAAAGAGACGGAGACAATTATTCATGTACTATGGGATTGTTCTGTAACTGAGACCTTTTTAAATGTAATCAAAGACAAGCTGAATATGACTTTAGGGAAAACAACATTTATATTTGGAATTCTTGACAAAAAAGAAAATAACAAAGATGCGTATAATGTCCTAAATATGTTAATCAAATACTATATCTACAGCTTTAGGTGCAGAAACAAACAATTATTACTTATTTCTTTCGTCGAATTTGCTAAAAAATATCTGGACTCGGTACAGAATTTGGGCCACCTTAAGGCCATGTACGTATGCTTGCACAATTTAATACTTAGACTTACATAGAATGATACAATACGTGTCGAGGGTATGACAACCTCTTACTGTTTGGAGTCATAGCTAATTGTGCATGTCTAATATCTTTGCGTACCTAAGTTCACATCTCGATAGTCCGTACTGTAAGTCTTTTGTGTTGCACCAGATTGTTCATGGATACTTGTTATACGTTAGTTTGTAATGTGTAGCAACTTGTTATGTGTACCTGAGTTCACAGCTAAGTGGAGACTACTGTACGCTTATTTGTTCTGTATGATCATGTAAGTGAGTAATGCTTTCTGTTATTCCCGACAATCGGCATAATAACATATATTGTGACTGTGGTATAAATGGCACGTAGTAATGTGTAGAATCCGGTGCGACTCATATATGATAATAAGCTGGTGTGTTTGTTTATATGTAACGATGTTAATCAGTTTGTGTTTTGTGTTACGTTAGTAATATGTAGAATCCGGTGTGACTTGTATATGATAAAAGCTGGTTTGTTTGTTTATATGTTACGATATATGTTAATCAGTTCGTGTCATGTGTAGCAACTTGTTATGTGTACTTGGGTTCACAGATAAGTGGAGACTATTGTACGCTTATTTGTTCTGTATGATCATGTAAGTGAGTGATGCTTTCTGTTATGAAAATCGGCATAATAACATATATTGTGACTGTGGTATAAATGGCACGTAGTAATATGTAGAATCCTGTGCGACTCATATATGATAATAAGCTGGTTTGTTTGTTTGTTTATATGTAACGATGTTAATCAGTTTGTGTTATGTGTACTGTTACTTTGTGCAACGTACTCAGTATTCTGTCACTCCCTGGTGCTGTTAATGTCCAATGAGACTACTGTATGTTAGTTTGTGTCTGTTGCATATATGNCACAGCAGGTACTGTAAGTGAGACCGCTGGGGTTTGCATCCCCCGTCCAACAAAAATAACACAGCATACAAAACGAGGAAAAATCAGTCAATTCTTCCATCCTTGAACTTCAACATACAGGTTTGTGAATTGCAGTTTTTTTTTTTAATAAAAATTTCCCACATCTACTAGTACTGTTGTATCAAGTTACGTGTATGGAAGGGGATTTTTTTTTATCTTTTTTTTTATCTACCCCTTTTAGTAAAATCCTGGATCTACCACTGTTGTAATCAACAATTTCATGATCATATATTCATTATTATACATTCATCACAAGCCTGGAATTGTTTGCTAGAAATAAAATGCAGCTCTTTTTACAAATACAGGAAAAGGGCGAGATATGTTGATGTGTCACACTGTGCTCTTACACGGTGATGAATGAAAACCAGTGCAATAAGTGAGATACTTCACAGTCCATAATTATGTTGTGAGTCTTTAAATTGATTGCAAAAGCCTGTAGCTCATCTGAGATTATTTTAAAACAAAGGAAGACTTTTACCCATGGGCTAGATGGGTGCTTCCTCAAACAAATAATCTTTTCAAAAACTCCCAACCAGTTCAAAATTTCACCATTCAAAATGTCTGAGCAACATATCTATCTGAAACCGATGTAGCTGCTCTGGTAATGTTTTATGATAACTGTATAAAATTACCATCCTTAAAACCAGCATACAGGCCATACCATTACATGGCAATTTCTCAATACTTTTTAACCTAGTGCCTGTACACAAAATTCCTTGTACACACATATCTATACACAAAGAAAGAGATAAATATACAAAATATCTATATAATATCACAGCATGAACTCATGCATTGAGCAAATCTTGAACAATTAATATGTTACAAATGAAAAATAATATTTTGATTTTGGTCTGAGCTGTTACAAAAAGGGGTTTTCAACACCATCACAAAGAAGCTAGTTCTAATACTCCCAGGATATGAGCTTCCAGGATAAGTGACATTTAAATCTGGATTCATAAGTGAGTTCCAGTTGAATACTGACTCAAAGTCACTTGAGCTTGTGGTAATAATGGGTGACCTTGACCTTCCATATGACATTGGACTTAGATGACCTTTGACCTTCAAGCGTTCTGTTTCTCTGGGGATTGCTGTCCTTTGTCTCTGCCATTGGAACTGTTGAGTTTTATCTGCTCCTTATTCACCAGGTTAAAAGGGTTGTGTGGTGGAACAGTGGTCACCATCTTGGACAACTGACTGTCTCTCTTAAATTCTGAGAAATTCTGAGGAATGGGGATATACCTGGAAAACACATACAGGAATGAAATATTTGTCTTTTAAAGCATGGTACATGTAGGTGTCTTCTTATAAAGAATATTACATTTGCTCTATAGCAAGCTAAATACTTTGTCTGTAATTAATTTTGATAGTTGTTGTAACATTACATAAGGATGTCGAAATGCTTTGACACATGCTCACATACAATGTACATGCAAGAATGTGCAGGGCAACAGTCCACTCATACACAAACCCACAAACACAATCTTTCTCTCTTTTGCACATGCTACAACATAGACAATCTCTCTTTCTCTTGTGCACACACACACACACATACATTCTCTCTTTCTTTCACACTCATGCATACACCCCCCCTCACACACACACGTGCATACCCCCACACACACACACACATGCATGCATGCACCCCCCACACACACACATGCATACACCCCCCTCCCCACACACACACACACATGCATGCACCCCACCACACACACACACATGCATGCACCCCCCCTGACACACACACATGCATGCACACCCCCCCCCACACACACACACACACATACACACACTGCCCTCACCGGTGTACTCTCCTAGTTGTTTGTTGCTCTGGAGGCAGCTGTCCACTATGCGCTGGCTCACGAATTCTCTCATATAGTGTACAACCATCATACTTGGGGATGTTTGGCCGGCTGAAAATTAAATGGCATTCATTGATTTTAGACAAATTAGCTGTTAATATAAAAAATGCCTTTTTTAAAACCTTGTTTTTTGGCTTAGGTAAATAAACATATTAAAGACAGTATATATGAAAAATTAACACTGGTAAAATAGGAAGATAACTTTAAAAACTGTTTTAAATATCTTTTTAAAACTGGCAGATATTTTCCCAAGTAACATAAGCAAAATCATGAATTTGCAAATGCAAAGGATGCTTTCTCTGCAGCTGCTTCAGGAGAACTCACTGTGCAGTCTCCGAGACCCAAGGTTGGGGATTCCTCTTCACTGTCATGGGCTGGAAGGGCACCTGTCTATTATCGATTTCATCCAGGTTTTCTCCACCTATGCAGCCACTATAAACAGAGGATATCATGTTACTAGTTGACATTTGAAAAATGAAAAATGAAAAGTATACCAGAAATGTCCTAATAATTGGTTGTGTGTCTGCACACATGCCAAAACTTGAGAATTTTAAAATAAAATATTGATATTTTTATTAGGAAATAATTAATTCATAAACATAATATATGAAATTAATTAAATGATTAAGGAATAATTTTTTCTAAAAATAGAAGAATATAATGTCACTTTACAATAATGTTATAGCCTTTTTCCATATATTCTAAAATATATATTATAAAACTTTAAAAACATTCAGTTTATTCTTAATAAATAACAGAAAACAACATCTTCAATTTAGACATAAATAAGGGTCACTTACCCATAAAGGGGTATCTGTTGTTGTCTGGGGCAAGGACTGCAGCTGTAGGGAAAATAATAATCAAAACAACAATAAATCAATTGAAAAAAAAAAACCTCTTAATTTCATATTGTTTTGACCTTACAAATAGTGTTGACAATCTGTAGTAATCATAAACAATATTTAATATGATTAAAATCATTAAGAAGTAATGGAAGTAGTATCCATTCAGTTANGCTCAGTTGAGTCTCATAGACCTTTATCGTGATTGTCGTCACAGTACCACGTGACCCAGATCTGTTGCTTCATTTTTGCATATTGAGGTGAGGTTTACTAAAACGCTTTTTTTCTACTAATAGATTGTTTTTATAATTTTTAAATGGCGGGGATCGATTAAAACATACCTCTAGTGTATAGATTGAGTGCTGTATCTTCAAAATTCGAGAAATGGATTTTTACATGAACATTGTCCTTTAACTACCAGTATGTCAATCATCCTGACAGAACTTCAAAAATGTTTTAACACAAAACAGTTCTTCAAAACCAAATCCTCAGGGGCGATCCAGGATTATTTGAAGGTGGGGGATCCGTGGATCTTAAGCCGACCCTCCAAACCCCCACCTCTCTTGGTGTGGGGTTCAGGGGTCCGCTGTAGAGCCTGAAAAATTTGATATTTTAGAGGGTGAATGGTGCCATTTGGCATGGTTTAGAACTATGATTCAGCTAGTCAAAATTCTAATTTCAAGAGGGACCATTGGATTTTCAGAAATGGAAGGGGGTCAAGACCCCCCTGACACCCCCCTAAATCCACAAATGATGCTTCTTAGACTTTCTACTGCCAAGTTGCCCTTTTCTACTTACAAAACTACTCCATTAGGTCCATGATACCATTGGGACTTCCTGGTCTGGAACCAGTCCCAAGATCGACCAACAGCCTGTAATAGAATATATTAGTATTAACAACTGCCCTCTCAATAACAATATACTTGTATGAGTATATATTGACATTTGCCCTCTAAGTACAATACCAACCTCTAAGCAAAAATGTATATAACTAATATAAGCATTTCATAAATAACTGTCAGTGTTGATTGTGCATGTTTTGGCAGATACCGTAGTTGGCTGCGACACAGACTCCTGATGCGTGTATCAGCAACCAGCTTAGGTGTCAACTTAACAAATACAAGATTTTTGTACTTATATACCAGTTGTCTGCTCAACCCAATATAAATATAATATATAGAGTTTTGCTCTTCATACAATATTGTTGAAATGTGTCCTTTGAACACAATATACATGGCCACACAATGACAGTGTATGCATATGTGCATGTGTACTGGTATGTCTGCCTGCATGCATATATTTGTGAAAATACAAAGCTGAATGCATGTGCCAATAACAGGCAATTCCCATCACTATAGATATACCTGCCACTCCTCAGCTGCGGGGTCGTATCTTTTTATCGTCCATTTCTGTGAGATCATGTCTGGGCGCTCTTCATGCGTCTTCGTGGCAGCGTTCTGTTTTGGAGGAAGTATTGTGTCCCAAGGTACATCACCATAACCTCTGTAATATGAAACATGGCAATGAATTGAGCTGTTATCTTATCTACTATTGTATTTCCAACTAGACAAGCAAGAATTATTAAAAAGGATTGGAATTAAGGGTGGAGCTGACAGGTATTGGGGTATTGCCTAAATGAACCCTTTTCTAAACAAGGGTTTTAAATGCACAAAGTAAGAAAATCCAAAAAAATTATTTTCTGTCCCATGTTTTATTCCAACGATTCAGATGATCTGTCTTGTGTCAATGAGTAGACTATGTAGTATGAGAAAAAGAAGGGAATATCTTACCTTTCTGTTGATGACGTGAACATATACTTTAAAGCTAATTTATCTCGCAAATTTTTCTCTGGACGAAAACAAGAGTAATTCATCCATTGACTCTGAAAAAAATAAATAGATTACAAGTTATGTTTGTGTCAAAATCAATCACTAATAAAACAAAGTTATAATGAGAATTATTGATTCTTGTAAAGCTTTTTGCTTTTTCAAATCTCTTTTACTAAAAATTTGGATATAACTATGTTTTGCCTTTCTGTGCAAGACATAGCTATTCAAAGTTGATTATTTTGAACTAATAAATAAATAAATAAATAAATAAATTGATAAATTTAAAATGAAATATCAAATATGAGACAAGAATAAAAGTTCCCTTACAATTGTTCCTTCTACTTTGCCATCAGCATTTTCTCTTGTGTCTCTATTACTTGTCCAGCCTAAAGAATAAAAAATCAATTTTAAGAAATAATTCTGAAAGTGTTTCTTCAATAATACCCTTCTTAAACATATCTGTTTTCAGGTGTATGCAGTAATTATACAGCACAGTAGTTATACAAATTAAAATTCCATACAAAAATCACGACAAAAGTTACCACACCACTAATCAAAACCATGCCCTAACCCCCAGATGTCTGGCTTCACTAACTGAACTCTGCTTCACATAACAAGAAACAAACTGTATTGTCATAGAACAATTCTTCATGCAACTCCTGTTGCCTGTGCACAAACTGAAAGCTACCAACTGAAGTCTCTATGACTAATGTAAACATGACCGATCAATGGAGTGTTTTGTTCTGTTGTATTGTTCCAAACAGCTCGATATCTAATGTACTGCAGTAAAGCACAGCAGGAAAGTGAAATGTTTGATTCAATCATGGGACTCATTTCTAAGAGCTGTCTAACATTATCAATAATTTATGACAATGACAGACACTGACAAAATCCTGACTAAAAATTGTGATAGTAAGAGGCATCTTAATTCATTTGCTAGTAACTACTCAGTATACAACACCTGTAGAATGTTTGTAAGTATATTAATTTGTAATGAAAGTATTTCAATCTGATAACATACATTAATATCATCTACATATAGGCCCTACATTCAATAGAAAGAAATGTGGAAAACAACTGTCAAACAAAAAATAATCAAACAGCTTCACACAAATATTATTTTCAAATATAAAAAAAACAAATTTCATGTGTCCTGACTAAAATGGGAAAGGACTGATTGGCATATTAACTTTCTGACCATCAATTTAATACTGAATTAAGAATGGCTGTCATTTTCAAGAACAAAATTTATGTGCAAGCTACCGTACATACCTCCTAGGTGGGACTTAATGGAGTCATCTATCAGTTTCCTACTGTTCCACGCTGAAGGGGGTCCAGGATCACTCTGCGTCAGCCTCCTCGTTTCCAAGGGGGCGGTGGGGCAGTTCGCACGGACAGAATTCACAAACTGGGGGACCATAGTTTGTGGTGTGAGTTCTAAGCCACCGAGCTGTGGTATCTTATGTCTGCCCGTGGTCCTGTCCACATCCCCTCCAACAGAAACAAACCCAGACACGGGATCGACGATGTTGTCAAAGAGGCGAAAGGGCGCTTCGGGTCTGTGGTCCCCTTCGTCGTTCCACTTCTTAAAACCTGAAGCGCCCATGTGGGGAAGCTCCTTGAATGAATCCACGTCATTCCTGCCGACCACAGAGGGGAATTTAGTTTGTCTAATTTTTCTTCTCTCTTCAATTTGGCGTACAGAGTTAGGCCCAGCGTTGGCATCGCTGTACAAATATGTGTTGAAGTGTGGTCGCGTTCTGAATGTCGAGTCCGACAACACCGTCATAGGCGCGATAACCTGCGTCATCTTCGAATTTCTTCTCTCAAAGTACTAAGAACAATGTCTTGATCCTTTAGCCACCAGTGTCCTCGAACCTCTGAAAGAGAATACCGTGTAATAACAGTCTAATGCGAGTGTCTTCTTACAGCGCACCTGTTCGCCATGCGTAAACTATAGGTGTTGCTAATGGCAATTGGGTCAAATGCCAAATATGGAAGTTGTCGTGACCTATTTTATCCGACGACTCTTTGAGTGGGTTTTTCAAATATACTCATAAAATAAAATGTAGATAGTGCGGCAGATATCCTATGCAGTAGTATTTAAATCCTTAAAATATTGAACCCTTTTATTGACTATGACATTTTAACGGAAAAAAAAGTTATTTATTACGGAAACTCCCGAAGTTATCATAACAAGCAACATGGCGGCTCGGAAAAAGCACCAAAATCAAACAGGACAAAATGAACGCACGAACGAAAAAGGAACGTCAACCAAACTGAAACAAAAATTTCCTAGAAGAAAAGAAAAACGAGACAACGCCGTGGAAGGAACTGTTGTAGGAGATTTAAAGCAGTTTAGCAAAGGATATCTTGCTTCGGTGATTGGGCTAGGTAAGGGGACCGGCCGGCCGGCGAGTGACACGTAATAAATAGGCCTCAGATGGGAAGTTTTGATAAATGGACAGTTATTCTTCTTTAGTGGTTACATTTCTGTTTTGGTTTTCTTGATGAATAAAAAGTTAAGATTCATCGAAATAAACAGTTCCTCCTAATTCGTGTACATTTCATGTCAATGATGTCGTGCAAATATCAGTTGCACGCCATCAAATTTTGATAAATTAATGATTCATGTCGTACGGTAAAACCATATAAGGTCAACGCCTTAGACTAGACAACCAGGTATAAAAAATATTCATTTTCAATTAATAGTATTTTTCTTGACTTTTTGTTGTTGAAAATATGACATTCTATAACATTATCTTTTATCACTTCCTTTGCAGCACTGTTGGTGTCTTATCTTCATGGGTAAGTAACTGTGGCAGTGCCATATTAATTGTTGTATGTCATGCAGACAGGCCCTGCTTCCTTTAACAATCATTATTATTACTGCTGTTATTGCTATTGCATAATGCTTAGCAACAGTTCTTAAAAAAGAAAAGAAAAAAGTTATATTTGACAAATAAAAGGTAAGTGCTGATTTTGCGCCCTGATTTTGCAATGTTCATGATGTTACTGTTACTGATATATGGTCGATGCTGAGGCACATGTTCATAGTATGCAAAAGAAGATTTTTTATAGTTATCTAATATTTTACTGCATTTTGAAAGGGGATCACGTTTAGCCTTTTTTCTGTCTGATATGAATTCAACAGATGATATAAATCTAAAAGATGCAGTGTGAAAAAGAAAAAAATTGACATTATGTTAAACCATTGATAAATCCACAGAAGAAGATAGTTGAATATACATTCAAATCTTCATACCAGAAAAACAGTTTTGTAGTTTCCAAAGCAGATGTTTGATACCTCTTTTTCTTCAGGTACACTCATCTGAATTTGCTTTATGCATAATTTATGAAGAATGGCTGTAGATGAAGTGATTATCATTATCTATCTTTCAAATTGCAATTTCCTTTCCATTGTACTAATGTTAATTATAACTAAGGACACCTTTAATGACCCTTGTGGTTTGATGCTGTAATACTCCCGAGATTTTATCTTGAGAATTTTTTAACTTAGGTCTTTTATGCAAACATTCCTTTTCTAGTATCTATGATCAAATACTCAATATAAATTTGCCCTGATTTGGAAAGAACTCGGCTATTACAGGTGTAAACTACAGGTGTTTGTTCTGAAATATGCTGCATTGTCAGATATGATTCTGCAGGATATATTTTCTAACAAGGGGAATGAATTATAAGAAAGAGATTTAGTGGCAGAAAAGGAAGCTTGGTCCCTATTTTCATAGTAATTGGTAGAGCATAGCACACTAGGACATTTATAAAAATTGAAAACTCCTACTAATATGCTGTCTACTTTAGCTTATCAGCCAGTATTTGAAATTAAATGGATTGACAAGTGGCCATATACTTTCCCTAGATGTGGGTAATTATATTGATGCCAGGTGAATAATGAGACTTCTTAATCAACCTGGAAAACAAATTGCTTTTGCCTTGCTATTAATAGAAAATTGCAGAGAGTAAAATGAATCAATATCCATATATCATACCTGTGTGCAGCTTGGAACCTTATTATATTTAGTAAAGCAGGAGTTTGATAGCAATCTGCTCCACAGTCTCTGCATTGATTTGACACATGAACAAACAAACATATTAATTAAAGAAAAAAAAGGACACGGATTGTTTTATGTTCTAGCATTTTATTTTTAAATGAACAGCTGTTGTTTTTATTGAAATTGCTTAGCATTTAAAATGATTTATACGTCCTTTCATCACAATGTTGTAAAATTCCAATCTTTGGGTTGAGATATTCTTAATGAAATATTATAAATTTTATTATTATTATTATTATTATTATTATTATTATTATTATTGATGATGAACTTTTAACACAATTTCATATGATAGCAGGTGTATTAAACAGATGATAACTTTATGTTGACAGAGCCCATATCTCCAAAATGTTTGAGAGTGACCGCCACTTCTCCCACTTGTCCACGCTGGAGAGAGAGCTGGCCTTCAGGACGGAAATGGTCAGTCTCCTTATATATGAATAGATATAATAAATGTAATTATAGACTTAATATACAATATTTTAAATATATTTACTGTTACCATTCAGGAGTAGAGGAATTTTGCCTTTTTATGTGGAACATAATGGGTCTGCTTTAATTATAATATATATTGCTTTAATTATAATACATAATAAATTGTTTGGTATTGTCACATTTGGCTTATAGTACTGTTCCCTTATATTTTTATATAAATGAATTTCTTAAAGCAACTGTGATAATCAAAACATTCATTTTGATATTTTTCATCCCTGTCATGTCTTTCCAGGGCTTGTACTACTCCTACTTCAAGATCATCATAGATGCTCCTAGTTTCACCAGGGGTGTCTACTCCATCATGAATGACAACATCACAGAGTTTCCTTCCACAATTAACACACTGAAGAGGTTCAATCTCTACCCAGAGGTAAGTACTGTCTGTTACACAGAGTTTTCTTCCACTATTAACACACTGAAAAGGTTCAATCTCTACCCAGAGGTAAGTACTGGCTGTTACACAGAGTTTTCTTCCACTATTAACACACTGAAAAAGTTCAATCTCTACCCAGAGGTAAGTACTGGCTGTTACACAGAGTTTTCTTCCACTATTAACACACTGAAAAAGTTCAATCTCTACCCAGAGGTAAGTACTGGCTGCTACACAGAGTTTTCTTCCACTATTAACACACTGAAAAAGTTCAATCTCTACTCAGAGGTAAGTACTGGCTGTTACACAGAGTTTTCTTCCACTATTAACACACTGAAAAAGTTCAATCTCTACTCAGAGGTAAGTACTGGCTGCTTCTTCCACAATTAACACACTGAAAAGGTTCAATCTCTACCCAGAGGTAAGCACTGGCTGTTACGGCATTTTTCTATGGTGGTGGTGGTGATGCTTGGGATAGAGCATTTTACAAATATAAATAGTAGACGAGGTCAATTTTATTGTAATATGTAGAGCACAGGGATAGAAAATTGGTTGATATTGTCTATTATTGCTTGTTATGCTTTTTTATTAAAGATTGTGGGGGATATGCTACTTAAAATAACTGAAGTTGTCACATTTAATCTAAGTTATCTTGGTGTTTTGTAACCATGCTTGGTAGATCTAAGGACTGCATTAAAAATATGCAACACTACATTGTCTGTCATATCCTATATTTAATATCTGTGTATTGTTACCTTACAGGTAGTTCTAGGGGCAGCATATAGAGTATATGATAGTGTAATGTATGCCATGAACAAACCTACCAAGCAGTGCTGGACAGTCAACAGAGGACAGGGTCTGGCCCCAGTGGAGAGTTGTGAAGGTAAAGAACTGGGCATTGGAGTCTGATTCAGCCTGGGAAGTTATTTCTGAAGCTAAACTGGTGAATTGAAAAAATTGTTCAGTTATTGGACATTGTTTTTGCTTTGGGTCGGTAGATTCTTTAGCCCTGTGGGAAAGTTCTGATGGGCAAATAACTGAGGGTTTGCTGTGCAAGTTTTTTTTAAATTAATTAATTTATTAATTTATTTATTTATTTATTTATTTATTTATTTATTTATTTATTTATTTATTTATTTATTTATTTATTTTGCATTTGTAAAAAAAAATAGTACTGGGCCTCCTCTGGTAAAAAAGTTTCCTGTCAAAAGTCAAGACTAAAGAGTGGATTATTTTGCCTAGTAGAAGTAAAAATATTATTTTAATGTAATTCATAATGATTGTGTTAATTTTTATTTAAATCTATGGTTCTTGTTATATTATGTTTTTTTAATGATACTTGAGTGTAGCCTTGTTTTATGTTCAAAGATATTGATTATTTATTAGAATTCATTTTGTTTCTGCTTTTCGCTTTGCTTTAATTCCTGAAGATGAAGTGGGTTTTTCTTTTCTCTGGTTTAGGTCTTGGTGAGCCTTCTTATTTCTATGTGGATTCAGTTTTCTTTCTTAATGGACTGATGATGGGGGTGATATTTCTTTATGCAACTTTTCTCAGGTAAGAATTTTAATCTCAATAAATTATTATTATTTAAAAAAACAACAAATTCTGACATTGTTTATTGTAACTTAGTTAGGTTTTAGGCAGAATGTTTTCTGTGAAGTTCTTTTGTATTAGGTTATAACTTTCACATTCAACATGACATTTAAGGAGCACCTGTTGGTTATCTGTATATTTTTTAATTATACTTCAGTGGCAGCATATTTGGGGGCATCCTCACTGTACTGTGCTTCTTCTACAACCATGGAGAGGTAAATATTTCTTAATTTTGATATATTTTTCTTTTTCCCACAATTCTACCCTCTTTAACTAAAAAAAATTCATCCTGTCCATTCCTTTATCCACATACAAAATGTTTATAATAGCAGCTTACCAACCAGAAACATCTGGTGACAAATTATATTAAAGACATACACACTGTACATCATACAGCAAAAAGATGACGATGTTAAACACTAAACCTAAAACTAGAAACCCTCTATAGCAGCATAGATCACTGTTTATTAGTATGTGTTTTTTGTTTATATTGAATGGAGCATAAATATAAACTAATAATGCATATGAATGCAATGTATTGGAAAATATGTATGAATTATAAGAAAATAGTTCTCTACACAATCATATATTATATTATATTCTCAGTGCACCAGAGTCCAGTGGACCCCTCCTCTCAGGGAAAGCTTTGCCTATCCATTCCTAGTGGTCCAAATGTTACTAGTCACCTATGTGTTAAGGTAAGTTCTCCGGGAAAGCTTTGCCTATCCATTCCTAGTGGTCCAAATGTTACTAGTCACCTATGTGTTAAGGTAAGTATTCAGGGAAAGCTTTGCCTATCCATTCCTAGTGGTCCAAATGTTACTAGTCACCTATGTGTTAAGGTAAGTCCTTGGAGAGTTATCCTGAGCTTGAAGAAGGAATCACACTTTGAAAAAAAATATTGGACTTATTTATGAAATTTTGTGTAGATTGTAATAGTATTTTCTGAGTTATTGCAAACTCCCCTCAACTCCCACCACCACCATTCATAGGCATAGTTAAGTTTGCTTTAAAGTGTTATGTATTAAAATAATATTGTGTATTAGTGTATCATCTTTGATTGTTTTGCTAATATTTGTTGAGAATTATTTTATGCCAAAATAATATGTCAGTAAGTAGAGTTCTGTACCATTTTGATTTAGGCAAAAATTATGTTTGGAAGTATTTTATTTTACAGTTTTATATCAGTAAAAAAGAGGCCTGTTATGCTTTGAATTGCTCTGATAACATGTGCATGGAAGAGTTTTATATGGCAATTAAATCTCAGAAAGTAGAGCTCTATCACATATTGAATTGTGCTGGTAATATTGAGTTTGTCTGATTCCAGGACAGAGCGTCCTACCTATAGACACAGTGCAATGATAGCCCTGGCCACAGTGTGTTTTATGCTGCCCTGGCAGGTATGTAATTACACATGATTTTTTTATTGACCATGTGGTTTATCTCAGGTTTTTTTTTTTTTTTTTTTTTTTTTGCNCTCTGATAACATGTGCATGGAAGAGTTTTATATGGCAATTAAATCTCAGAAAGTAGAGCTCTATCACATATTGAATTGTGCTGGTAATATTGAGTTTGTCTGATTCCAGGACAGAGCGTCCTACCTATAGACACAGTGCAATGATAGCCCTGGCCACAGTGTGTTTTATGCTGCCCTGGCAGGTATGTAATTACACATGATTTTTTTATTGACCATGTGGTTTATCTCAGTTGTTTTTTTTTTTTTTTTTTTTTTTTTGCTAGATGGTCACACGAACATTGATCTAATAGATTACTGATCATTCAAAAATAAGGAGAACACTGCCGTCGACAATGATGATGGATATAGACTCTTTGAAAGTTCAATACCTTCAAAATAAAATTCCTTATTTTTAGTTGATCTCCCATCTTTTTAACTTTATGGTATAACAACATTATCATCTTCTTCCCTTTCAGTTTGCTCAGTTTGCCCTGTTAACACAGACTGTCTCTGTACTGGGGACATATGTCCTGGGCTTTATTGGTTCTCATAAGATGAAAGTGGTACTATATGGACAGACAGTAAGTGATTTTGATTTTGAGATTTTCTATTACACAGATTTAACCTCCTTTTCACATTGTGTGGCACACTGTAGTTTGATTTTTCTGACTAACTTGGAGCTTACATTGAGGAGTCGGTCAAGTAACCAAGAACCTTTGATGAAGAATTAAAACATCATATGTCATATGTAAAAAATATATGCTTATTCTCTTTAGAATAGATTGGCTCTTTTAACCATTTTATAAAAGAGACAATCAAAAACATTTGTCACCCCAAACAAAAATTTATGATCAATAAGATTGTTGTTGGTGCTGTTTAAGTTATTATTGTCAATTTATTCTCATTTCCAGGTAGCTCTAGTGATAAGTTACATCTTCCTCTTTGGGAATGAGATGTTATTGACTTCGTTTTATGCTTCCTGTCTATTCACTGTTCACGTAAGTGTTCTCACAACTTTAAAAAATGCTCATGATAATTTGTATTATCACAAAAAAAAAATATGATGAATATTATCTTATCTCAACATAAATGTGAAACTAGAAGAGTGCCAGTTGATCACTGCTTTGACTGTTTGAATAAAAAAATACACCATGCCTTCTTAATGATGACAGTAATGATAATGATGATAAAGACAATGAAGAGTTCCTTACACAGACTTCTCCACCTTCTCTGTTTATAATAATATAGTTATTAAAGATTTAAATTCCTGACATAACAACTGAAGTCACCGATTACACATTCACTAAGTGCAGGCAAAGTTTCATTTATAAGTAGCTTGATAATAGTAGTCCTGTAATTGTATGTTTTGATTTAATTTAATTTGAAATACAAAATATATAAACCTGGAAAAGGGGAAAAATCTAAGAAGTGTCTTAGAGGGCTTTATTGACGTGGAGAGAATGTTTTTTCTTTCAGTGTTATGTACATGCAATCACTGACAAATGGAAAAAATATGTATAAGATGTCTTTCATGTTGTTTTGCAGATCATATTACTTTTAGAACCTATAGTAGAAAATATTAAGATCAGGCCACTGATCTGGGTGAGTATTCTCATACAGAACAACTTGAAGTAACACCTTTAGTGATATTCTCATGTCATTCTGTTTATCAACTGCATCAGTTTAGATGTTCATCTATATCAAATTTACTGTGGTTCACTAATTTGCAATTTTCCAAAAGTCATGTAAGAAAATTGGAGGAGGAATATATAATCTGTACTGTGTACATCATAATGCACGTTATTTCTCAGAGCTCAGTTATCTTGGACTGAAAATAAATTGCCAATATATTTTTTTAATTTGTGCAATTTGTGTAGAGAAAATGTATTTTTTTCTATCTTTCAGTTAGTGCAAGGGGCAGTACTGGCAGTAGGCACCATTACAATCAAGATGGGACTTTCTAGTCTTTTTAAGATAGCAGATGATGTAAGTATTCGCCCACAGAGGTGAAGTGCAATATTGGTAATATTATGCATTAACTTGTTTTATTTGTGGGGTGAGGTTAAGAGGTCAGAGAACAAGGGTGCAAAGATAGAGAGCTCCAGAGAGATGAGGGGGGGGGAAGGGTACAAGAGGATTAAATAAGAGGGGAGGTGGATAAGTGAAAGAAGAAAGCAGAAAAGAGAAATAAGTGTGGATATTTACCAGCTGTGGTTCTCATTACTATTTTCCTCTTCTTTCTTTCAGGCTCATATATCAGATATTTTTAGAAGCAAATTTGCAGACTTCAAGAACTTCCACACCATGTTGTATACGTGTGCTCCAGAGTTTGACTTCATGCAGGCAGAGGTGAGAGATAGCTGAATCCTATTTGAAAACACATATGAATGTATGCAGGCACACATGCACACACACACGCACACACACACACACACACACACACAGAGCAGGAAAACTCATGCAATTGTACAAATCTTATTTCTCTTACTATTAAAGTGTTTGTGTCAAATTGTGTGTGTGAAAGAGAGAGAGAGAGAGAGAGAGAGAGAGAGAGAGACAGGTAAATGAGAGAGAGAAAAAAGAGAGTTCAGATCCTTGAAGCTATAACCAGTAATTTTGGTTCCCAAGTATTTAGATCTGCTTATGTGTACAATTTCAGACTCCTGTGAAGTTACTCCAAACCCTTCTGCTGCCCAGTGTGTTCATAGCCTCTGCTGGGGCAACTGTTATTGTAAGTATGAGCTCAAGTTGAGGTGGTAAAAGAATTAATATGAGCAACTGTCATTGTAAGTAGAGAGAAACATACTCAGTGGTAACATTAAATACAATTTACTTTTGTAACTATAACAATTTTAATATACTTCATTATAATATTAGTGTTAGGTTTTAATACTGATCTTTTGAATTGGTTTTGTGGTTTATTTACGCTATGATCTGGTTAGAATCTTAAACATGATTGAATAGGAATATGTTTAAATATGTTTAAAATATCTTTGAAATTCCCAATTCTACCTGGTTAAAATGATAAAACCCCTCGCATAAAAGTACCTGGTGTCAATATTTCCATCTGATATGTACAGAAAGACATGGCAAAATAATTTTTTTATCAGTTAGAATTTGTGTGAAGCACCAAATAAAATTGCTTTTTTTTTTTTTCTTCTGGAGAAAAATTTGATTTGGTGCATATATCCCAGACAGGGAACCTTAATTCTTGACTTAATGTGTAAAATTTCAAATTGACAATTATTTCCCACAGATACTGCGCAATGAGTACCAGCAGTGGTGCCAACCCCAGGGTACCGAGGTGGGCGGTGGGGATACCCACAGCAGGGAGGAAGAGGAGGATGAGGAAGAAGAAGACAGTGTGTACAGGAGTCGAGCCTACAGGTCCAAGCCACATGCTGAGGTATGGATGGTATCCCAGGCTGTGCTGTAAACTGTAAACTGGTCTACTGCTAACAGTGTCTTATCAGAGTCCGGTCAGTCAAGGAAAAGGCAGTGGTCAGGGATTGAGTCAATTATTTTACTGGCCAGGGTCTGATTGTTTTCTGGCATTTAGTTTCTGGCCAGTGTTAATGTGAAAGTCTAATATTAACTGTATATAGTTACTATTAGTGCAAAATAAAGTAGCATAGAAGAGTGGGGAACACTGAAATCGAGTGATGTCAATGGGGAGGTATTAAAAAATCAGTAACTACTCCTGAAATACAAGTATTTATTTCAGTTTTATTTGTCAGTTGTTTATGTAAAATATCGTCCCACTTGGCAATTTCTTCAGCCCACAATTTAGCTTCTAATTCAGTGCAATCACCTTCATTTTTTACTTCTAACAGCTTAGCTTCTCTTTCACTGTTACGTCTCTTATGCGCTCATATTCCTGCTCATCAATTAACAGCTTCAGTTTCACATCTTCTTCGTTTGACAGTTGTTGTAATTTCAGCTTTGCTTCTTGAGCTTTCACTCTTGATTCCAGCAGTTTTTCACTCGCCTTACTTGAGGCTGTTGACCAGCGAGAAGAGGAAGTACTGGCGTTGCTGGAGGCTTCTTCTTTAGCGTCATCCTTTAAAGTGGCTGTCTATTGTTGTCTTTGGTGGCCTCTTGTTCCTTCCCATTCTGTGCATCGACGATCGAATTCCTGTTTGTTGCTTCCACTAGTGGGCTTGATTTGGTCTTAAAGTGCAATTTAAGATCACAGATTGTCTTACATGATCTTAAACCATGAGTAAGACCATTTCTGGTTTAACAGCCAATTAAGTTGTCTCCCCTTACACATTCTCCTATTGTGAGCAGAGGTGAGGGGAGGAAACTGATTGACCACTTAAGTAGATGTTAGATCATTTTTGAACTTAAAAGCAGATTCAGTCAATTTAAGACTACTCCTGTAATGATTAAGATCGTGTAAGATCAGTAGTGTTTTTAAATTGCACTTTAAGACCTAATCCAGCCCACTGGTGTTTGTATGCAGCTAAAAACTTCATTAGCTTCTTCTGCCGTGGTTGGACCTAGATGATAGAGGATGTCAATATAATCTTAGTGAGTCTGGGAAAGTGTACCAAATATCTCGCTAACCGCTTCCCTTTTCTTCATCACTTCATGCTAAAATCCACTATTAAAATGTCTATGTCATGGTAAAGTTTGGTTAATTTGCCCACATAGGAGGCCCTGGACAATTTGAGCACTTCGGCCCTCTCAGTAACAATGTCTTTCCTCATTGCGGGGGTCTTCCTTTTTTCAGACATAGCAGACTCTTATTTCAATCTGGCAGAGGTTTCACAATGGCGAGTTTCACTAGGGCGTGGCTTTCTCTTCAGCAAATGTTACACTTTGTAGCTCGCAGGGGCCACAAAAAAACGAGGCAAATGACAACGGGCATATTCCTTTCTTATTTGAAATAGTCTCAGCTTGAAATAGCCGTGTAACTAAAACAAAGAAAATACAATTGTCACTTATTTGTTTGGCTGGTATCACCACTTACTTCTCACATAACATCTGAGTTAATGAAAATACAATTAGCAACCTGGTTATTAATTACGAAAACTATATAATATAAACAGAGAAATACTGATACTAGTAATATATATTATGTACAAAATTGGCATTAACATCTTACCATTATGCTTCTACTGGGTAAATACATAAATAATGCCACTGCATTTCTGCACCTCTGCACTCCTCTGCAGCATACACCTAACTGACCCACACTCTCCTGGGTGTGACAACTAGGACTGTTCACTTATGCTAATGGAGTCCTTTTATTAAAAGAATGTGATAGATGTGCTTGCTCAGCATATCTGATGCAATAAACCATAAACTAATTTTGATACAATCATTTTTGTTCTTACAGCAGTATTTGGAATCAGTTTGGAAAAATTTGCGTCCATTTTTTTCACAATTTTTACAAAGAAATTATTAAAGAAATATTTAACTTAGAATTCATAGTCTGTATAGTGTATATTTTACTTCCTTGTAGGTGCTATACAACATGTTCCAGCTGCTGGCATACACAGCAATGGCAGTGATCATCATGAGGTTGAAACTGTTCTGGACACCACACTTGTGTCTGCTGGCTTCACTACTGGCTTCTAGACAGGTAGGATAGGAAGTGACACACACACACACACCTACGCGCGCGTGCACACACACACACACACACATATGCATGTAGCACAGACACACACTACTTTCTCTGCTGGCTTCTAGACAGGTAGGACATGCATGCATGTGCACGCACACACACACATACATACATGAGAAAGAGATATTGCAATTGAGAGGGGGAGTGTTAGGAAAGGTAGGAGAGAGGAAGGGGAAAAGTAAACAATTGAGAGAGAGAGAGAGAAATTGGGAGAAAGAAAGGGAAGAAAGGATAACTGGAGAGAGAGCGAGCAAGACTCTTCTCAGCATTCCACTACTAACGTGTTACATATGCTGTATTTCAGTTCTTTGGCTGGGCGTGCCCCAAGAAGACCCACATCAGTGTACTGGTGGGCCTGATGGCAGTGATGAGTATCGCAGGGTTCGGGAACTTGAAGCACCAGTGGGGGATCATGGGAGAGTTCAGCAACTGGCCGCAGGAAGAGATGGTGGAATGGATTAAGGCACACACACCTCAAAGTAGGACTTCTATTAAACCATACCTTACTGAAACAATAAGCTATTTCCCCCCACAGAATGAATGCAAGGCCTACTGTGATATAGGCCTACATGGTGGTCCATACAAAAAAACTATTTTACTTTCCATCTCTATTTGAAATATTTTTTTTAATATGCTTGATTAAGGATTTCATAAATTTTTGTTGAACCCAGTAGGTTGAAATATTTTCACTGAATACAGTGTTATCCTGATTGTTATCGAGGACCTTAGACTGTGCAAGTCATTTCTTCCAAGTGTTATAATACATTGAGAACTGTAATATATTGCACAGGGCAATTCCTGTCCTTGCCACTACGATCACACAATTCTTAAACTGTGCAAAGCATTTCTTTCAAGTGTTATAATACTGTAATTTTGCTGTGATTTTAGCTGCTGTGTTTGCTGGTCCTATGCCTACCATGGCCACCGTGAAGCTGTGTACGGGAAGACCCATAGTGAACCATCCACACTATGAGGATGCAGGGCTGAGGTACGGAAGACTGATTTATTTCTAAAATTTTATATTGGCCACATGCAAAACTGCCTCATTTCTAAAATTGTATATTTCAATTTGGCACTCTCCACATGGTGACACCCAGGAATGATATATAAAGACTGCCTTATTTCTAAAATTTTATATGATATTGGCAGTGGCCACATGGTGACACCCTGGAAGAAATATCTTCAGAAATACCTTATCAGCACCAAGAAAGTGTACTCTTTGTATTTTTTTTTTTAATTTGGGCCAGAGGGTATTATAAATAGTTATATGTGTATGTGTGGATAGTAAAAAGTGATCTAAGAATGGGGTTAAACAAACTGATCCTTTTTTATTTTCTAAATCCCAGGGCCCGCACCAAGAAGGTGTACAGCATGTACAGTAGGAAACCTGTGGAGGAGGTGAAGCAGAATCTCATGGATCTTCAGGTGGACTACGCTATCTTGGAGGATTCCTGGTGCATCAGGAGACAGAAGTAAGGCCATTATGTAGTGTGTGTGTGTGTGTGTGTGTGTGTGTGTGTGTGTGTGAGATAGAGAGAGAGAGTGTGTGCGTGTGTGCGAGAGAGAGAGGGAGTGAGAGAGAAAGAATGTGTGTTTGTTAGCATGTTCATTTTTTTAATGCATACACATGAGTTTGTAAGCATACACATGCACATATGGGGGAGGGAGGGGGGAAGGTCCCGTCCATAGCTCTGGCCCTGGACCCCTCTGAGGACCTAGAGAGCCCCCTGAACCCAGCACCATATTTTCACTCTTTTCACTAAATGGCAGTCTCATCCCTGGGCTTATCCCTGACTTTATGGTTGTACTTATGAGATGTGAGGTGTTAGAGAGCCTTGTAATTATTGATATATGTAGCATGTGGTCCCTGATAAAGGAGAATGAGATTCTGATTTTTTCCATTCTGTTTATTTCACAGGCCAGGCTGTGCCATGCCAGAGATATGGGACGTCGAGGATCCAGAGAACAAGAACGCCCCCGAGCCGACCTGTACAACACTCAGGAGAAACCCAGGTCCACACTTCAAGAGAGTCTTCAAGAATGATGTGTATGAAGTACTGAAGATTGTCAAATAATGTGAGGGGTTTTGTGTGCTCAAAAAGCAGATTTTTGGTCACAACTGTGTCAGGAGTTTTGATGTTATGTGTACATCAGAGATGGGCAAAAGTTTGGAGGTACAAAAATGGATGGTTGTTTTTGTAATGATGATTTTTACCAGGATGATATTTTATATTGTTATCAAATTGGAAAGATTCAGGGAAGCAGTGTATGTGGTATGGCAGGCATGGTAATTACTTCAAGTATCTCACCCACTCGAATATTTGACTTTGTCAGGATTTGTCATTCTAGGCACTCAGGTGTTCTTTTCAACCTGAAGGCCAACTTAATTTCCAAAATTTTTTGACTCGACTCTTTTAAGTATGACAAGCAAAGCATTGCTTTGGGGAAAATTATTTATTTTGTACATTTTTTTTTAGTAATTACCATTTATTTCAGGGTCTGCATAATTTTTAATCTGGCCATCTGTTTTCTTTTTTTTTTTCCTACAAAATGCCGTCAGTGGTACTGAATCAATCAAAATGTTGAATCAAATAAGAGACCTCAGGTCATTGTTAATCAAATACTGTGAATTATGGAAAGAAATACATGAAAGTCTGACCAGTATTACTCAACTGTATTGTTTGATTGGGGTCAGCAAACATTTTATTTAGCTTTTTTTTCTGCCTGTTTATTTTATTGTCTACTTCCACAGAAATGACTTTGTTTTGTTCTATTATTGATATTAGGTAGAAGTTGTAAACAGCTGGACTTAAGAACTGCATATGTTTTTTTTTTTTTTCCTCATAGATATACTCTGCTTTGATTGTGAAGGCATGTTACATCCTTCTTAAATAATCAAAATGTTATCCTAAGGAATGCTTGTAAAGTTAATTGTTCATTTAGCTTAAAGCAGGGTGATCTCAAAAACGTATACTTACAGGATATTTCTGAGCACATGGCCAGTTCGTGTTAGAAAATTTATGAGAATGCCATGCAAGTTATTGATTGTATTTCTTTGTGTCAAATTCCATTAAATGGTCCTTCAGATGGATCTATTTTATTGCTGATATTCATGATAAAGGTTTTCAATCTAAAAGACAAGACTTCAGGTAGAAGGGCAAACGTGTAACTTAGAGACAATGAAAACTGCATCTTCAATCCAGAATCACAATGAATGATAAGTACTGTAACTCGAATTATTTGTATTATAAAGTTAAGCACAGTTTTATCACATTTGTACAATTATTTTATACCTGAATTGTCATTTGTGCAGGCAAAACCAATTAAATTTTTTGCTAATATTGTGAGAAATTGACTAGCATTTTAAGTGTTTTTTCAATTATATTGGATACCTTACTTAGTATTTTGCAAAATTTTCAATGTTTCTATTTCATATTTAATGTTGCTGTTGTGACAGATGTTCACATAAGTTGCACATTTGAATTGAAAGCGAGAGGACTTTGTCTCTGCAGTATTGATATAATGTTGGGAAATTGTTCAGATGTTTGCTTACACAGTTTGCTTACAATTCAGTGATAAAAATGGCAGCATAATAGTTTTGTTGAACAAGGTGAATAGTTAAAATGTTGTTGCTGTGCTCACACTTACACACACACACACACACACGTGTACACACTGCATTTTTTATTTACAAAGAGGTTAAGGGTTTGACTTAATACATTTTTGGTGCTGGGTGTGGGGCCAAAGTAGGACAACTGTGGACAGTTGGATTGTCAGGACATACAGGAGGCATGGTCAAACTGGGCTGATATGTATGTCCCCTTATCATTTATTTATTATTCATTCATTTATTTATTTGCGTGTTATCAGTATTATCATCAGAATTATTATTGCCAGCAATCTTTTTTTAAAGTTTGTTTTATAATTATCCTTTTTTATTATTACTGCCACTTTTGTTTATTATTATTATTATTATTATTATTATTTACTGTCTGTAATGTATTGCATTCCAGTTTTTCCTGTCCACCTGTGCCCTAGTATGACATACGATACAATACCGCGGCTACTAACGCTAGAACGAGTAGAATTAACATACTTCATTCATTTATTTATTGAGGAAAGGGAAATATTAATGAAAAGCCAAGCTTACGTTTATTGTTTAATATAAAGTTATATTTTCTGACTATTGCAATAAAGTGTTATGACATTTTAGTTATTCAATGTTTTGTTTTAAGTTCGGAGTTGATATAGGGTATTTTGGATGTTTATTTTATTACAATGCGGTGACAAGCATGTGAGTAGTTGGAATTAATCGCATCAAACTCGGGAAGCTTTCATAACAACCTATCATTTCCGAATGTAACTTGTTGATTTAAAACCAGTGGGTAATGTTATACATTTCCACAGAATTTTTGGATTAGTACAGGTTCGTCAGTGAGATGAAGTAGACGTCGCTCTTGTTTAAAATGGACCAAAGTCGAGGCTAGGTGTGCAGCGATTGAAAGGATAAAGTTATAAAGGAGGGGAGGGGGCGTTCTCCCCCTTTAACTTTGGGGGTACCCCACTTCCATAAAATGTAAACGATTTTACGCAATGATTAGCAAGCAGTTCTTTATCCCNCCATCTTGGAGGATTCCTGGTGCATCAGGAGACAGAAGTAAGGCCATTATGTAGTGTGTGTGTGTGTGTGTGTGTGTGTGTGTGTGTGTGTGTGTGTGTGTGATAGAGAGAGAGAGTGTGTGTGTGTGTGTGCGAGAGAGAGAGGGAGTGAGAGAGAAAGAATGTGTGTTTGTTAGCATGTTCATTTTTTTAATGCATACACATGAGTTTGTAAGCATGCACATGCACATATGGGGGAGGGAGGGGGGAAGATCCCATCCATAGCTCTGGCCCTGGCCCCTCTGAGGACCTAGAGAGCCCCCTGAACCCAGCACCGTATTTTCACTCTTTTCACTAAATGGCAGTCTCATCCCTGGGCTTAGAATTTATGGTTGTACTTACGAGATTGAGGTGTTAGAGAGCCTTGTTATTATTGATATATGTAGCATGTGGTCCCTGATAAAGAAGCGTGAGATTCTGATACCTTCCATTCTGTTTATTTAACAGGCCAGGCTGTGCCATGCCAGAGATATGGGACGTCGAGGACCCAGAGAACAAGAACGCTCCCGAGCCAACCTGTACAACACTCAAGAGAAACCCAGGTCCGCACTTCAAGAGAGTCTTCAAGAATGATGTGTATGAAGTACTGAAGATTATTAAATAATGTGAGGGATTTTGTGTGCTCAAGAAGCAGAGTTTTGGTCACAACTGTGTTAGGAGTTTTGATGTTATGTGTACATCAGAGATGGGCAAAAGTTTGGAGGTACAAAAATGGAGGGTTGTTTTGTAATGGTGATGTTTACCACGATGATATTTTATATTGTTATCAAATTGGAAAGATTCAGGGAAGCAGTGTATGTGGTGTGGCAGGCATGGAAATTACTTCAAGTATCTCACCCACTCCAATATTTGACTTTGTCAGGATTTGTCATTCTAGGCACTCAGGTGTTCTTTTCAACCTGAAGGCAAACTTAATTTCCAAAATTTTTTGACTCGACTCTCTTAAGTATGACAAGCAAAGCATTGCTTTGGGGAAAATGATTTATTTTGTACATTTTTAGTAATTACCATTTATTACAGGGTCTGCATAATTTTTAATCTGACCATCTGTTTTTTTTTTTTTTTTTTCTACAAAATGCCTGTGGTGGTACTGAACCAATCAAAATGTTTAATCAAATAAAAGACCTCAGGTCGTTGTTAATCAAATACTGAATTATGGGAAAAAATACGTGAAAGTCTGACCAGTATTACTTGACTGTATTGTTTGATTGGGGTCAGCAAACATTTTATTTAGCTTTTTTCAGCCTAAATATTTTATTGTCTTTTCCCACAGAAATGACTTCATGTTTTGTTCTATTATTAATAATAAGTAGAAGTTATAAACAGCTGGAATTAAGGACTGCACATTTTTTCCCTCATAGATATACTCTGCTTTGATTGTGAAGGCATGTTACATCCTTCTTAAATAATCAAAATGTTATCCTAAGGTAAAAATGCACTTTTCAGTAGCCAGATACAAGGAATGCTTGTAAAGTTAATTGTTCATTTAGCTTAAAGCAGGGTGATCTCAAAAATGTATACTTACAGGATATTTCTGAGCACATGGCCAGTTCGTGTTAGAAAATTTATGAGAATGCCATGCAAGTTATTGATTGTATTTCTTTGTGTCAAATTCCATTAAATGGTCCCTCAGATGGATCTATTTTATTGCTGATATTCATGATAAAGGTTTTCAATTAAAAGACAAGACTTCAGGTAGAAGGACAAACGTGTAACTTAGAGGCAATGAAAACTGCATCTTCAATCCAGAATCACAATGAATGATAAGTACTGTAACTCGAATTATTTGTATTATAAAGTTAAGCACAGTTTTATCACATTTGTACAATTATTTTATACCTGAGTCATTTGTGCAGGCAAAACCAATTAAATTTTTTGATAATATTGTGAGAAAGTGACTAGCATTTTAAGTGTTTTTTCAATTATATTGGATACCTTACTTAGTATTTTGCAAAATTTTCAATGTTTCTATTTCATATTTAATGTTGCTGTTGTGACAGATGTTCACATAAGTTGCACATTTGAATTTAAAGCGAGAGGACTTTGTCTCTGCAGTATTGATATAATGTTGGGAAATTGTTCAGATGTTTGCTTACACTGTTGGCTTACAATTCAGTGATAAAAATGGCAGCATAATAGTTTTGTTGAACAAGGTCAATAGTTTAAATGTTGCTGTGCACACACTTACACACACACACACACACATTCGTGTACACACTGCATTTTTTTTATTTACATAGAGGTTAAGGGTTTGACTTTGTACATTTTTGGTGCTGGGTATGGGGCCAAAGTAGGACAACTGTGGACAGTTGGATTGTGAGGACATATACAGGAGGCATGGTCAAACTGGGCTGATATCTATGTCCCCTCTTTTATTTTTGTCTTATCAGTATTATTATCATCATCTTCATTATTATTGCCAGCTATCGTTTTTCAAATTTGTTTTATAATTATCCCTTTTTTAATTGCTGTCATTATTTAATTTTATTATTATTATTATGTGTCTACAGCTCTTTATTTTTTTTTCTCTTGTGTATCAGCTGGTTCCCGCAGCTTAAACACAGCACTTTTCACAATATGTGAACTGTTCCAAGTCTGACTGACAATTGTGCACTTCCAACAATGTTATTATTGTTATTATAATTATTATTATTATTATTTACTGTGTGTGATGTATTGCATTCCAGTCCTTGGCCACCTGTGTCCTAGTATGACATGATATTACCGTACAGTACCGCGGCTATTAACGCTAGAACTAGTAGAATTAACATACTTCATACATTTATTTATTGAGGAAAGGGAAATATTGATTAAAAGCCAAGCTTACGTTTATTGTTTAATATAAAGTTATATTTTCTGACTATTGCAATAAAGTGTTATGACATTTTAGTTATTTAATGTTTTGTTTTAATATCGGAGTTGACATAGGGTATTTTGGATGTTTATTTTATGTCACTGAGGGGCGTTTTTGGTGACAGTCATGTGAGCAGTCCGAAATAAATGTTTCAAACTAGGGAAGCTTTCCTAACAACTTCTCATAACCATAGCCATTTCCCATTATAGCCCTTTGATTGAACACCAGGGGTAATATAAATTTTTACAGAATTCCTGAATTAGTTCAAGTTCATCAGAGAGATGAAGTAGACGTCGCTTTTGTTTAAAATGGAACTGTTTTACTTTGGGGTGAGCCACCCCCCCCTCCCCCCGACAAAAAGTAATCGGTTTTCCGAAATAATTAGCAAGCAGTTATTTTATCCCCGTTGTGCATTTTAAAGCTGTCAGTCTACTGTTTAATTTCAAAAAATTTAACATTCGCCCTTCTCCCCTTAGAAAATTTTTGCAATTACCAGTCCTGTCCTACCTTTGCTCCCATGTACAGAATAAAAAATAATGTCTGCAAGACTCACTGAATGACATTTTATTTGTACCTAAAACTGACGTTCAAATTGACGTCTGATTGTTAAACTGCATGCTAAATGCTTATTTACATGTCTAAGGAAAATAATAAATAAAAACGATAAATATCTGGGAATATAGTTTAACATATGAAGCATATTGTGATGAAGGAAAAAAATCTTTGTCATCGCCGAGAGATGGGTTGGGCTTCAAGAGGCAGTGATTGATATCAGACAAAACTTGAATCGTTGCAAAAACAAACTCAATATCTATACGTGAAGTTATATGAGAATTTGAGAAATCGCTGTTCACATATGTAGAAGTCTAAAATGAAATGGTTTTTCAGGCTGATGACGTCATATACGTTATTACCGGACCGAGATTGTCCGGCTTTTATCCTATTTCTCGCGTAGTTGGCGTCTATTATGCTACGCTTTTCATTATTGTGATTTCGTTACGTTTTTCTTTTTAATAAACAGCCAATTTAGATCCTGTCGTACCATTATCCCCAGCAACAGCAGGAAGCCAGTATGCTTTTCTGGTGTGACTATCGTAACTAATTGGCTAATTTGGACGTTAGGGAGCTTGATAATCCAAAGACTAATTCCGCGTGAATTCCACCATTTTGACAAATAAAAGTAGCACTTGGTCAAAAAGCAGCTTGTTTAAGTAACTGGATCGTAATCTCCTTTTTTAAATTTGTTCTTCGTGAAAAGAAATCCGTCCTGAAAAAAATATACGTAAACATTGTAGACATATGAAACAAATACATGTATAGAAACCGAGTTCAATCCAAGTTACGTGGGGAGAACAGCGTGATACTTGATTTGACAGCGTGCTATTAATACGTGCCAAATGGTACATTTTTCATTGTAAAATACATTAAATCAAAATTCTCGATTCCCACACATCCCCCCCCCCCCGCCCCCCCCAAAGAAAAATCAATAAACAGTGTAAAACTTATTTAATCGTCTCAATACTATGGAATAAAATTAATCATCACGTCACGAAGTTAAAACTGCGCACCTGAATTATAAATCTAATATAAATGATTTCAAAAATAGGAGTCTGCATACTGATGTCGGTGTGTGTGTGTGATTGTGTGTGTGTGTGTGTGTGGAAATATTCTAGATCATACATCAGGATGTAAACATATTGTAATCATCACTTACCTTCACAAGTGCCGGTATGGCTTGCCACATCTCCCGTTGCGGTATAACGTTCGCCCCTCTCTCCTGCTGTATAAAATACCTGTACCCTACCCCGACCCCCAGGTATGTCACGGCAAATACCAGCACTCTGGAAACACATTACAGATTGGACTCATTAACAAAACTGACCCTCTGATATTAGGGGTCTCTTAAATAGTATACAAACTGAAAGTGTATGTACCTATACCGCTACCATAATTTTGTAAGAGACTACTGGTCATAGAGTAAGAACAAACAGTAATGTTCCATCGTTGAAGGGGGGGGGGGTATTAGTATCCCAACTTTTACCCATAGCTATCTAATTCCTCCCCATAACAGAATAACGAATAAAACGATGTCTTAATCTCCTTCAATTAATGCTGCGAAGCTACTGATATTGCAAGTCTATTAATTACCCCACAAAAACGATAAAATCACTCATATCAAAGCGCCTGACCTCGATATTTCCTTCGGAAACACAGAGAAACACATGGCAAAACATTAAGAACTAAATCATTTAACTAGAAATTCTAATAGGCATCAAATTTAATTGCAGGGACGATTAGTGGGTAGGAGAAAATGGCTTTTTTCACGAGAATTTTTTAATTTTGCGAAGACTCCGGCTATAATACCTTTAAAATATAAAATCGATTGAAAAGACTGGGCATCACTCACATTATAATAAGCAGACTTCCTATACTGAGACTGTCTGGCTCTTCCTCCTGGAAACACGCGTACTTCGACATCAGCGTCATAAACTAGAACAAAACGCAAATCAGCCGTTATATCTTACTTGGTACTTATAAACAAGACAACTAGCTAGATACATGTATAATGATAAAATATGGACAAATTTTAAAAGAAGGTGGCAGTGTATTAAAACTCATGAATTGAGAAATGTTCATAACTGTGTGTGTGTGTGTGTGAGAGAGAGAGAGAGCGAGAGTGCACTGATAGAACACATTTTCTCTTAAATCTGGTGACCAAACTTACGTAATTTGTGGGCATATCGGAGCGTTCGCCCTCAGCCACGAAATCGCCTTCCTTACTGGGGTCACAGATCAGCTGCACGTGACTGGTCCTGTAGATATATGTAATCAATTATTACATGTTAGTAAGTATTAGTATTTCTGTCTAGAAAATTTCATGCCAACATTATACAGTTGCAGATTTTTTTTCTTATCATCAAATTCTAAGTTGAAAAGTAGTTGTGTCGGTTTTTATTTCATGTTTGTAAACCTTTGTCCCGTGACAAAGGTTTACAAACCGTGTTTTCTCCTCTTAGTACAACATTCCAGATTTTCTGTATTATCTCTTCTTACCTCTAGCATTAACATTTCTATAAAACTACTAAACTAAAAGCAAGGAGATAAGTATGTGGCCACGTGCACAAAACAATGCTAAAAATTCATTGTCTAAATGACCATTTTTAATCCCTAAAAACAAAATCAATGCAGACCCTGGGTTGGGGGTGAGACAGGTACAAAAGGCACATAATTCTATACACAATCCCAAGCCCGCCTTTTAGGTGTCTGACCCTTCACGCTAAACGTGTTGATATATGTCGTAGGGCGCAATAAGTCAAAGACGCCTTCATATATAATACTAATATAGACTGGGGAACNACTTCCAGTGGATGTCAAACTCAGTGGATGTCAGCACTTTGATGTCCTCTTCCTGATCCTCGGATACTTTCTGCTTTATGTGTATCTTGCAGACAAACACATCAAGTCTGTCTGCCATTTTTGGGCTCAGGGCATACATTACATGTCACTTTTCAGCAATTTCACATACTTTATCACCTAAAATGCAAAAGGGTCTTTTTTAGACTTATTTCCTATCACTCTCTCTCTATCATTATCTATTATTATACAGGCCCGTAGCCAGGGGGGGTTCGGGGAGTTCGAAAGAACCCCCCCTTTTTGCTGGAAAAAGGTCCACTCTGGGTAAAATTTGACCTAGGTACATGGGAATTATATGGTAAAAGTCCACTTTTTCAGAAAAAGACCCCCCCCCCTTTGAAATTGCTGGCTACGGGCCTGGTGTAATATATGTACAAATTTTAGACTTCCCCCATATTATTGGCGCTATTTGATACTGTATGGTAAAAGTCAACAGTAATTTAACAGTAATTAATAAGTGATGTTTTAACAGTTACGGAAAAATATACATAAAATTTTCGCATCATTGAGGTGGCTTAAATGTTCATTTTTTTTTTTGTGTGTGTGTGTGTGTGTGTGTGTGTGTGGTATGACCCATGTTCTTATAAATATAAAAATAACATAGGATCCAAAACCAGGTGGGCCATAAATGAATACTGAACTACTTGGCTTCACCTGGACCAATACGTTACCTGGTCGTTCCCGAGGTGTCCGTGGCGGAGTAGACTACCTGGAATGCGCCCTGAGAAGTCATGTTGAACGTGGCCGTGGCTTGACTGCCCAGTGAATAACCGTTCGTATACATGTCTACCTGACACACCTGGTGTGAAAAAATAAGCCGATAAATAAATAAATAAATATGGAATAGTTGTATAAGCAAATAAAAAAATAAATAGATAGGTAGATATTAAGATAAGCAAACAAGATCAACTCGAAAGCACTCACAGAGCACAGAGACCCCTTCGAAAGCTCAATTATCACTATTGTTTAATTAATCGACTGGTTAATTAGGGACCGTCACCAAAATCTAAACGATTCTAAGGTAAGCTGTCCTAAAAATTTTATCCTTTTATCCAAATCCGACCTTAACTTTTAAAGTCAAGCAGTTAGTTAGTTAACAAACCAACAAACACAAAAAACATAACCCCACCGGAGGAATAAATAAATAAATAAATAAGAGTATTATTTTGCCTTGTGGCATATTCCAAAACGCAGTACTGTCAGTTGAAATCTTCCGTTCACTTACAGCGACGTCTTCACATCCCCCGGTGGGACCTTTGTTTGCAGTGAATCTTGTACAAGGATTCCAACTGTAGGTAAACAGATCACTGGAGGTTGCTTTGAATCTTGGACAATTAAGGAAGGAATTTAAAAGAAATTATGGTAAGACAAATCTTTACAGTGAAGTCATTTTCAATGTGTGTTCCCTAATACAGCCTGTAGACTGGGATATATTTTCAGGTAGCAATAATAAGTTAAAACAAAACTTTAAAAAATAAAACCAAAAGTTAACTCGGATCAGACTGCATCTAACTGCATCAAAAACGTATCTGTTACATGCTTTGATGATATGTATTGTTTATTATATGCTTTTGATGCATCAAATTGCATCAAAAACGTATCTGCCATTTACTCTGATGATATTTACTGTTTCCTATATGCTTCTTTTGTGCTGGAAGACAAAATCGCAAAATCAACCTCACAAAATCAATCCCAATCTAGAGTACGTTACCGAGCGGTTCCATCAGAGCTAGCGAGAGGCCTCAGGTTCAAGACCCCATTCTCGTTCCTGCAGCTACAGGAGTCTATCTTCACACAACTCTGGCTATGGGACGCCCTCACGAACAACAGCAGCAGGAGGACAAACAGTACAGTCGTCGTGTTTGGGACACTTCGTCCACTTTGTCTACGAGCCATGGCGCCGGGGCAGCTTCTTGGACGTGCTGCCTTGTCGGTGTACTGGCACGGTTATGTCCATGTACTAATTTATCAGTGACGAGAGGTATATCTTTAAAGGTAGGTTGCTAAGCATGATTTCATTAATATGGGAGTAAAACCATGGCCTGAAGCCTGGGGCGGGTGTCAGCCAGCCCATGTGACCTCCTGCCTTGCGTCCATGACACTGCACTTTGGGTCGTCTGTGCTGGTTGGGCTGATCTTTCAAAATTTTTTCATAACCTATTTGAGGATTTACTATGAATAGTTTTTCGATATTGCTAGCTAATATATAGCATTTCTGTGTTGGGTATTTTCAAATGCCGAGAGAAATAAAAGATGTCGGAAGAAAGGCTGATGGAGGCCTTGTGCGACAGGAACGCTGGCGGGCTTGATCTGTTGATAGTGAGCGCGTGGAATGGTACCCGGGGTCTCGTGGTCTTTATTATTACCATTAACCATGGTACACTTAGGCCAGCTGACATGGCTACCTCACTCTTGACGTGTGGTTGGTCACTATGTACGGAAAACCTGGTCGAAATATATTATAAGAATAGCAAAGCGCTTTTTTTTTGTCTGTATCACGGTCCCGTTTAACTGAGAAAAATTGGCCTTAAGTAAGTTGTAGCCCAAGATCAAGTATTTTATTTATTTATCTATTTATTTATAGAGGGGGGGGGGGAGGGACAATTTTGATCTTGGTAACGCAACGGTAGTCCATTTTAAGGGTGAGAACTAATTTATATTAAACCGAATTCCACATAGTAAATTTTCGACTTTTGAAGTGAAGACCAGTTTTCTACTTCCTAATTTTTTTATGGAAACAATGGGGCAGGCAGTCGAATTCGCGAGGTCAACCTATTTCGTTTTAGGGAACGAGGAGAGAGTGCGAGAGCATCGTTATGAGATCGCTTCAGCCATTATGTGATATATTACTTCAAGCGGCACTACAAGAATGTACGAAGTCAGTCTCTTAAATTGCCTAAGCCCAGCTACAAAACGTGCTTTGGTTGAGAATTAATAAAGTAAAAGTAGGCTTATTTAAAACAACCAGTAACTTTCTATCCGTCCATTTCTTTAACCAATCCTTGGCTACGCCATCCGGTTACACGGTCGAGTGCTTTTTTTTCGGTTTTTGCAAATGCCCAAGATCAAATTTGTCACGTACAAAGTTGCAATCTGTTTGAACTAAACTCGCAGGTCAATTTATTATCCAACCATCTGCTGTCATATTCCGCAGGGGCACCCAACCTCTGCACGGAACTAGGTCACCGACCTCTTCGTCATTATGGGGCCAGCGAAGAGGTTTTCTTCATATTGCGGTTTATAGCTTTTATCATTGCCAACTTTCTAACTTACAATAAAATTATACTTTGTGGGCATTCATAGCCTCCAAAACTTTCAACCCCACAACTGCAACTGCTAATTTTGTAACGAGGCGCGAGCGTTCCTTGCCTGAAGTCCGTCTTACAAGGGTTGACTACCCTATACGTCGCGCACTCATATGATTCACCAGCTTGTTAAAAACATTCACCCAAAACAAGTCTTAATGATACAACACAACAACGCCAGCATTTGATTCAAATTGTATTTCTGTATTTTTTATGTATTTTTTAAAGGACAGTTTCTCATTGTAAAGTTTGTAGTGAAATGCTCCGCTCGCTGTTGCTGGTTCTACGTTTCCTTCATTTCTCTGAGACGACGTACTGCACTTCTTACTGTGGCTGCTGCTGTGGTGCTGAAAGTACAGAAAATACACGTTAATATTTTTATAACCATCCACTCAAACTATTCAATCCTTGCCCTTATCAGCGGCAGGGCAAACAGATGTCAAAATCCTGCTTCACTGCTTTTATATTTACCCTCATATGTGACGACTCTAACATTTACTCTTGCGACTTAGAACGAAATTTGTTCATAGGTAAAGTGCATCAGGGTTAAAAAGCTCGATGTGATATAACTCTGCACTGATCATAAGAGTTGGATCTAGTTTCATCATCTGCACTTGTGTACTTAAAAATAACTTAAGACTTGGAAACTGAATTTCACCATAAAAATATGTAACCGAAGTCAAAAGTCAAGTAAGCCAATCAGTTTTGAAAGTGATGTGCGTAAAATTGAAGTCCAGCTAATGACAATTTGTAATCGTCAGTTACTGCTTTAAGGTAGAAGCTGGATGTTTCTCTCTCTCTCTTTTTTGCTTTTCCATTCTTTCTTTTTTTCTTTTTCTTTTTTAAGGGTGTGTGGTGCACAAAGAGAACTGACGTGAATGCTGGTTTTTACCTGGCAGTCCAAGCTCCGCCTGCGATAATCTTCTTGCAGCCACCACACGCCCAGATACCAACAGCTGTCCTCTTTAACTTGTCCTGAAACATTAGATGCTTTATTTTAGGTGGCACAAATCACACCCCACTGTGAAATAATCTCCCCCCTCAACAAATTCTTCAGTTACAAAATGACAGAGATTGTTTTTCCTTCTTTAAACATGTCACTGGAATACGTATCACCACACCACAGCAAGTGTAATGACATAGCGAGACCAGTGGTTTATCTACACAGCATAAACGCCAAAACTGCAACGGAGTACTGCGGTCTTGGAGCTGGACTGTGATACTGATAGGGACCATTCCCACATATATTTGGCTTGATTTATCTCCCCTGGGAGTCTCACTGAATTGCTATAACCATTGTAACTAAATGGTGGACATACTCTGTTGTAAACTCGGATCCTCAGCTCGTTACCCCCTACCTCCCCAACACACACACATAGCCTTACCTTGCCACAGAACTGGCATGTGTATTTAGAGTGCTGGGACACTTCCATCTTCTTCACCAGCTTCCTGAGGGAGGCACCATAACGTGTGCCATACTTTCCTACTATTCCCACCTTGCGGGTGCGTTTAGCCTGCAAAACAAACAAGTGGAGTGTAGACAAAATTAAACTCACGCATTTACTAAATGACATACAACTTTTGTTTCACAAAACTTCAATACTGGCGAAAGACATTGTATGAAATGACCTTGTTAAAAAGTTTTATGCACCGAGGCAAGTCAGTTACACTTTTTAAAGAAAATGTCACTGGAATACGTATCACCACACCAGAGCAAGTGTAATGACATAGCGAGACCAGTGGTTTATCTACACAGCATAAACGCCAAAACTGCAACGGGGTACTACGGTCTTGGAGCTGGGCTGTGATATTCTAAGTGTACAGATTTAGCCCCTACCATAAAACGGCTTACTATTCAAATAACGAAAGCATACTGTGGTACATCGTTTTCTACCCAATGCCCATTATTCTTTTGGGGAAAAGTTAGCTTAATGTTGACTCCATGAAACGTAAAATTGAGGTGATTACGGGGGATTTAACATGACCTTCAAAATACTGACCATTTTCAATGCGGAGCAATGGCAGAAAGGAAGTTGCAATGCGCATGTTCGAGGAGTGCATTGTGGGATTTATTGCACATGCAAAGGAAATCTGTTGCAAGTGCCCGTGTGGTGTGTTATAAAACTATCAAAACAGTTTTCAGGTACACAGGAGAGTGAAGAGGACGTTACGGGTGAACACATTGTTTCCTACTACGTTTATTTTGTCACTCAACCACCGTTAAGATTTATATTTATCTGAGACCATCGCGGTACTCGTCTAGTTATTGTCATTACTTCGCATGAAAAGCTTTACTCATTTCTGAAGTTTATTATCTCGTACGTGATAGCGTTTAGCGTAAGTTGTTGATGGTAAGTGGAAAATTAAAACTTTGACTTTCATTTGATACCTTTTATACAGATTTAACAGATTGAGTAACAGTATGCAGATGGCAGACAAGATTAAATATACCTGATTCTTAAAATAATACTTTCCAGTTTCACTTCACAGTTTGAACAACTCGGGGGCCCAAGTGACACCACTGCCCAGCATGTCACTGTTTACTTGTATAACCTGCCGTGTGGCGTTTGCTGATACTGATGTTCAAAGAGCTCATTACAAGACAGACTGGCATCGCTATAACTTGAAGCGTAAAGTGGCCGAGCTCCCGCCTGTCACAGCAGAGAGCTTCCAGCAAAAAGTTCTGGTGCAGAGAGCTCAGGTTAGTGCCCACAAAAATAAATAAATAAATAAATAAATAAATAAAAATATGAATAAATGAAATGCTACATATAAATAAGAAAGTAAAAGAAAATACATACTTGACTTAATAATAATTATATAGATAAAATGATAAAACGAAATAAACAAAATGCAGTGAATGAATAAGTAAATTATATAATAAGAATAATAAGAGAAACAGAAAAAAAGGACTTGATCAAAGCTTTAAAAGGATATCTCCTATAGGTTCTCTGTGCTTTTGCTATGTATAACATACATGTCTTGACTGCATCCCATACTGTAGGTAGCAGAGCAAGGCAAGGACACCTCAGGTTACTGTTCCCTATGCAGCAAACACTTCGCCACTGAGAACGCCCTACAGAACCACAACCAGTCCAAAAAANACGCTGGTGGTACAATAACTTAAGACTTGGAAACTGAATTCCACCATAAAAATACGTAACCGAAGTCAAAAGTCAAGTAAGCCAATCAGTTTTGAAAGTGATGTTCGTAAAATTGAAGTCCAGCTAATGAAAATTTGTAATCGTCAGTAACTGCTTTAAGGTGTTTCTCTCTCTCTCTTTTGTTTTTTTGCTTTTTCATTCTTTCTTTTTTTCTTTTTTTAAGGGGTGTGGTGTACAAAGAGAACTGATGTGAATGCTGGTTTTTACCTGGCAGTCCAAGCTCCGCCTGCAATAATCTTCTTGCAGCCACCACACGCCCAGATACCAACAGCTGTCCTCTTTAACTTGTCCTGAAACGTTAGATGCATTATTTTAGGTGGCATAAATCACACCCCTCAAAATAATCTCCCCCCTCAACAAATCCGTCAGTTACAAGATGACAGACTGTATTTCCTTCTCTTAACATGTCACTGGAATACGTATCACCACACCAGAGCAAGTGTAATGACATAGCGAGACCAGTGGTTTATCTACACAGCATAAACGCCAAAACTGCAACGGAGTACTACGGTCTTGGAGCTGGACTGTGATAGTTTAACTCATTAAACTTGGGAATTTTTCTTTACAGGTTGAAGAAATTGAACAAATGCATGCAGTAAGTCACATCCAAGGGTTTCCTTTCACTCGGCTCTTTACCACACAATCCTGTATCTTGTAATGCTGTATACATAGCCCGCCCTCCCATCCCCCTCTTTTATCAACACACCCTACTCTCACTTTAAACATAGATGACATGTTTACAATTGGAGTGCTGAGACTAACCTTTCAACACACGCACGGTTATACCCACCTTTTCATAGTAATAGCATGTGTGTTTGCAATGCTAAAAGCCCCCCCCCCCCATAACATGGCAGAGAATTATCTCCCAAGATAAAGAGTCTGCTTCCTGTTCATTTGTACAGGTTTAAGCCTCACCCTAGATTTCGTTACATTTAGGTCAGCTTAAACCTACCCATTATAACTAAATGGATTGCAGTATCTGTTGTAAACACAGACCCTCAGTTTCGTTACCCCCTACCTCCCCAACACACACACACACACACACACACACACACACAGCCTTACCTTGCCACAGAACTGGCATGTGTATTTGGAGTGCTGGGACACTTCCATCTTCTTCACCAGTTTCCTGAGGGAGGCACCATAACGTGTGCCATACTTTCCTACTATTCCCACCTTGCGGGTGCGTTTAGCCTGCAAAACAAACAAGTGGAGTGTAGACAAAATTAAACTCACGCATTTACTAAATGACATACAACTTTTGTTTCACAAAACTTCAAATACTGGCGAAAGACGGATTATATGAAACGACCTTGTTAAAAAAGTTTTATGCACCGAGGCTAGTCAGTTACACTTTTAAAAGAAAATGTCACTGGAATACGTATCACCACACCAGAGCAAGTGTAATGACATAGCGAGACCAGTGGTTTATCTACACAGCATAAACGCCAAAACTGCAACGGGGTACTACGGTCTTGGAGCTGGGCTGTGATATTCTAAATGTACACATTTAGCCCCTACCATAAAACGGCTTAGTATTCAAAAAACGAAAGCATACTGTGGTACATCGTTTTCTACACAATGCCCATTATTCTTTTGGGAAAAAGTTAGCTAAATGTTGACTCCATGAAACGTAAAATTGAGGTGATTACGGGGGATTTAACATGACCTTCAAAATACTGACCATTTTCAATGCGGAGCAATGGCAGAAAGGAAGTTGCAATGCGCATGTTCGAGGACTGCATTGTGGGATTTATTGCACATGAAAAGGAAATCTGTCGCAAGTGCCCGTGTGGTGTGTTATAAAACTATCAAAAAAGTTTTCAGGTACACAGGAGAGTGAAGAGGACGTTACGGGTGAACACATTGTTTCCTACTACGTTTATTTTGTCACTCAACCACCGTTAAGATTTATATTTATCTGAGACCATCGCGGTACTCGTCTAGTTATTGTCATTACTTCGCATGAAAAGCTTTACTCATTTCTGAAGTTTATTATCTCGTACGTGATAGCATTTAGCGTAAGTTGTTGATGGTAAGTGGAAAATTAAAACTTTGACTTTCATTTGATACCTTTTATACAGATTTAACAGATTGAGTAACAGTATGCAGATGGCAGACAAGATTAAATATACCTGATTCTTAAAATAATACTTTCCAGTTTCACTTAACAGTTTGAACAACTCGGGGGCCCAAGTGACACCACTGCCCAGCATGTCACTGTTTACTTGTATAACCTGCCGTGTGGCGTTTGCTGATACTGATGTTCAAAGAGCTCATTACAAGACAGACTGGCATCGCTATAACTTGAAGCGTAAAGTGGCCGAGCTCCCGCCTGTTACAGCAGAGAGCTTCCAGCAAAAAGTTCTGGTGCAGAGAGCTCAGGTTAGTGCCCACAAAAATAAATAAACAAATAAATAAATAAATAAATAAATAAAAATATGAATAAATGAAATGCTACAGATAAATAAGAAAGTAAAAGAAAATACATACTTGACTTAATAATAATTATATAGATAAAATGATAAAACGAAATAAACAAAATGCAGTGAATGAATAAGTAAATTATATAATAAGAATAATAAAAGAAACAGAAAAAAAGGACTTGATCAAAGCTTTAAAAGGATATCTCCTATAGGTTCTCGGTGCTTTTGCCTATGTATAACATACATGTCTTGACTGCATCCCATGCTGTAGGTAGCAGAGCAAGGCAAGGACACCTCAGGTTACTGTTCCCTATGCAGCAAACACTTTGCCACAGAGAATGCCCTACAGAACCACAACCAGTCCAAAAAACACAAAGAAATTGAGGCCAAACAAGCCAGGCGTGCGCAGGCTGAAGTCCAAAAAAGAAATGAGAAAAACAAAGTGAAGGGACTGCATGTTTTAGATGAAAATGAGAAGATGTCCCATAAGCAGCCTGCAAATGAAGCTCTCAAGGAGCGCTTGTCCGCCACGGGTTCAAGGATGACCGGAGGGGCAGACATTGAGGTGGAGGAGGAGGTGGAGGAAGGTAGGGGGTGATCTGGTAGTTTAGAGTTAACAAAATCCTGTTTATTAATGATTGAGGAACAGTCAGCTGTTAATGATTCCAAAAGCTGAAAAGAAATAATTATTTAGAGTGGTTACAATTAACTTCATATATTGAAATCAGTTTCTGTAAATTCCCATTTATAAATATGGACAAAGATGAAGGGTTTGATCGATGTCACAAAGCTTGATTTAGTAAATTGATAAAGTGTGAATTGGTGTTTTGCAACAATGTAAAACCAGTTGTATTTATCTTCATTTATAAAAAACGGAAAACAATGTGCATTTTAAAACAAGTTTAATTGCAATATTTGCTTGTGTAATTGACACAGTAGATGAAATTCTCTAGCAAAAAAATTTAATCAGACTTTGTTCAGTAAAGAGTACTAAAACGTTTGATCCTCACCCTAGAACTGGTATCAGATGAGGAGTGGGATGATGATGAGGAGGAGATGGCCCTGGAGGAATGTCTGTTCTGTTCAAAGATTCTCTCCTCGCTGGAGAAGAATATTGAGCACATGAGTGTCAAACACGGCTTCTTCATCCCTGACGCAGAGTACGTAGTGGACTTGGAGGGCCTTGTCACGTATCTAGGTATTTTGAACTTTAGTTTTTTTATGTGAAATAATTCTCTTGTGGAAATTTAAAGAAGAATGTAGATATTTTTGTTTGGGTATTTCTGTGAACTGTTTACTTTGGCTTAACGTGAAGGTGAAACTTTTATTTGCTAGGAAAGCCATATATTTTTGTGGGTATGAAAAGTTTCAAAGTGTCGAATCCATTTTTTGCCCCGACAATAACCTGGAGATGATAATCAAGGGGGAAATATTGTAATTTCCTGAAAAAATAAATGTTTGCTATATTAAGGTCTTGCACTCATTTTGTAGCTGTAAATTTTAATCATATCCAGAACATATTTTAATATGTATTTATAATCAAAATGTTTTGGTTTAGAGTATTTGACTTGAGTGTTCCATATGTTTTCATAGGAGAAAAAGTTGCCATGGGACATGTGTGTTTGTGGTGTAATGAGAAGGGACGGTCATTTCACACCAAGAAGTCAGTCCAGCAACATATGGTGGACAAAGGGCACTGTATGCTCACCTCTGACGGAGACGCCATGTTGGAGTATGCAGATTTCTATGATTACAGGTAAGAAATTGGAGCATGTATATTGTATTTTGGAATATGCAGATATATAATAACAGGTAAGAAATTGGTATTGGCAAGTTTGTGGTAAGTCACTATTAATATTTAAGGTAGATTAGCTCATATGGCATTTTAAATGACTATTTTTGTGGTGTGGGGGGGGTCTAATCTACTGGTTGTTGGATGATTTTACCAATTTACTTTCTTTAATAAATCAAATTTACTTCCCTTTCCAGTTATATGAATTAAATGTGTTGTCTGTACTGTACCAGTTTGACTGGAGAATACATGTGTTTATGTAATTTCACTTTATGGAGTTTTACTCTCTCTTACACAGCCCAAATTAATCTGATAAACTGATCATTTTGAGTGCAGCTAATTTAAGGTGACTCGCGCAATAGGCAGGCCATTATATTGTCAATCTCTCAAACTGAAAATGGTACAGAAAACTCCATATGAAAAATGTTTTTCACCATGCTGCCCCAGCAGGGATGAAATTTTTCCCTCTTTGGGAGCCAGAAATATCATTGGCCTAGCTGGCCCCCCTGGACTCCATGACATATTATCCAACTTTTTCACAAAGGCAGTCCCTGTAGTAGCCAAAATATGTTTAGGAATAGACTGGACATTTGGTCTTTGTTAAAGTGGAGCTCCTTTGTTTTGTTTTACACAGGAGCAGCTACCCAGACTACCAGGAGGGGGGTGATGGGGACCAACAGAATGACGAGGAACAGTCTGAGGGCATCCAACCTGAACTGCTGCTGGAGGAGGGATATCAACTGGTGCTGCCATCTGGTGAGTGTGACCTTGACCTGGACTTCGAACTTTTACCTTCAAGTTTCAAGTGCTGTAGCCCTTCCCTGTTCTGTTGAAAGTTAATCTCTGTTTGAAATCCCCTCTGTTGTCATGAAGTTTAAATCATTGGAAAGCGTTGCCTTACATAAGTGGTTTCATCATCTTGTCAATAATGCCCTCCCTGGTGCTGCTACCTAGTGAGCATTTTCCATTGGGTACATGTATTAGCCCAGTGTCTAGCTTTCAGCCAGAGGAATTTATGGTCAGGATGAGTTTATGTCATGTTTATTTCCAGGCTCTGTAATTGGGCACAGGTCTTTGATGAAGTATTACAAGCAGAACCTCCCCCCAGTCAGGTCACAGAACAGATCCCTGGTAGCCAAGGTGACAGCACATTACAAGGCTCTAGCTTGGACAGGAATGACAGGTAAGATTGGAAGACGCTGCTGCAGGTGGGGGGGGGGGGGAGCTTTGTTTCATCAGTGGCTTTAATGTCAGAAGTTTGTTGAAGTTGTATGTATAGCATTTTCCATTGGGTACATGTATTAGCCCATGTATAGTTTGAAGCTGTAGCCAATGGCAGGTTCACACATTTACAGGGAGGGGGGTACAGCAAGATCAATTTTCATACTGGTTGGGAAATTGTCTTTAATTAGCTTGTAAGCCATATCTGTATGTCCCAGCCTTGTAGTTTCAATTTAGATAAGTTCAACAAAATAATGAAATATTTTATGTTATTACAGTGTATACTGTTTTGTTTTACTTATTTTTATTTTAGCATTTTTATTCATTTATTTATTTATTTTTCCAGGTCAGGCATCTGTGCAGAGAGCACGTGATATCCAGTACGTGCAGAAATTGCGGCAGCGGCACCACCTCAAGCTAGGCATGAAAGCAAACATGCAAAAACACTACAGGGACCAGAACCCAATCTAAAACAGGCCAGTGTGTCTGGGATTCAAAAGTGATGTAAAATGACAGTTACTACAAAGATAACACGGAAGAAACGTGGACGTTATTCCATTTGCAACAAAGGTCAATAATTGCCTAAAATGTTGCAGGGAATAGAAACCTCTGTGAAATTTTGTTATGGCTGCCAGTCTGTTGTAAAGAATAGTTTATGAAATGAGCTTGTTCTTATATTAAAATTATTGATTCATTCACCTCTGAAATAGCGAGAAGTCTCTCCTCGCTGCTTGATGGGTTACACCAATATGAAATCTTGTAATTGAAATGATTATATCAACATCAATTATTACGATAATAATAATCATATTTCTCAAAACTAAACGCATTTGGTTTTTGCAAAAAGACGACGGACAATTACAAAGTAAAACATCAAGGAAGATATGATAAACCACATTTGAAATATTTAGAATTTCAAATGTAAAATGTAGATGCAGAGTGACACGACACCATGAACTTTGTCTTTTACAAAATGATAATATTTCAAACGGCACATCTGAGTATGCGTGGTCTCCAGTTACAAAACTTGGCGTCCCTAATTTCCGAACCATCCCGTTTACTGTACCTTTGAATGTGTACTCAATTCACACTTTGAAGTTAATCGTAGATGTTTTTGGACAGTGGCGCTGTTTGTAGTATTGTACATTAAAGATTCAAATGACCACTTGATGTTTAGCATGAATTAGAATTTTTAAAATACCCGAAAATACGAAATATTGTTTTGTTAGACCTGAAAAGAATCCAGTTGTAAACTGTTTGACAGTTTTATCATTACACAATAGTGACTCGACAAAATAGAAATATTATTTTAGAGTAGCAACAGTTTATAAAGACGTTGAAAGTGTGTTTGTCTCTTTTATTTGTTCAGAATTAAACTTTTTGTATTAATGTTATATGGAGAAATCACTAATTTAGATTTTGGAGTAGCCTCAAACATATATCATTAATATGAGCAATAAAATTTAGGTCAACACGTTCCTTTTTACCAAAAATGACAAATTAACAAAAATGACGATTTTATATCTAAATTGCGAGCATATAAGTTGGCAGTTTGAGTCCAGCATATGATGTTTTCCCACTCTTTTTGAGCACGAGAAAGGTAATTATTAATACTAAAAGCACACGATGCGCGTTAGACCTTTTTAAACAATAACCACATTTGCTGGATATTCAGCATATTTTTGTTTATCAGCAAGGTATTCCCAATCCAAAACCGTAAACAAAAATAAAGATTTATATACCCGTTTCTAGCTGACTTTCAAACTTTGAGTTTTCAACAGATTTTCAGAGTAACTTGACATCCATACTCCCTTAAACCTAATTATTGATTGTACGACCCAGATGTGAAATTACCTAGACCAAGTCCAAGCAATTACGTAATAGCCACAGTGTAAACATACTGTGGGCATAACGTCTACCTGTATAAAGTAGATTATATATATGGACAAAAATAGCCAATTGTGTTATACAGGAAGTCTATTGTGTTGTGCAGAGCAAAGATTCACATGGGTTGACTGGAGTACCGTGAGTCTTCGGTGATAGTGGACAAGCTTAAATACATACCTGGTACATGTGGCTTGTTGTTCTGGACCTGGAGTAGAGATAAAACAAAGGTTTGTCTGCTTTGGTCTGTCTAAATCTAGATTATTTAATGGCTTGTGCGTTGAAGTCCGAGACTCTATAAAGAAACGGACTTATTAATGGTAATAGGACCTTTGATTTTGTACATATACAATGTACGCACAAAGCTGAATACACAAATGTTATCAGTTTCAAAATGGAATTCCACGACGCTTTTCCACGTTTCATTGTTTTTTTAATCATTGTACTTAAATGTTGAAGTGTGTCATTCCCTATGTGATTTTATACACGAAAACAGTTCCATCTTTCAAAAAGTGACCGTGTGCTAGCTAATCTACCTCCCCGATGAAATCTGGCTGGTCAGCTGATGAAGTATAGGCTGGCGAAGTAACATTTTGGCTCATTTTTCCATAGCTGTGACAGACAAATGAAACTGTGTTTGTTTGTCGCCTTTAAACTGTGTCACGAGCTCGTGCAAAGTGACTAAAGTGAGTTTCTACTAGTCTGGTCGATTAAACAACCACTGGTAAATAATGTCTTTGGGAATATTGAGTGTCTGCTTGGGAATTGATTTGAACTAGCAGCAGCATTTTACTAAAGCCCCATTACGGGGTTATCTAGTTTTATGACTGTCACAAGTCTACAAACCGTACTCTAAGGGGGGGGGGGGGGGGTAATGCTCTTGGAACGCCTTTGGAAAATAATAAAAATGATGATCCAGATTGCTGTCGAAGGTCACCATTTTAAACATTTCCACATTGTAGGCCTACTCTCTAAAAAGGATGGGGGGGGGGTCTGGAAAAGGTCTACTCTTTGTAGACTTTTGAAAATGATGATAAAAATGGATTATTATAACTCAAAGGTCCATTGGCATACATAATGCTAGAAGTAGGGTAAATATGACCGCAGATTATGTGGGAGCAGGTTTTTTTTTATTCGTTTCCCATCTATAGGAAACGTACAGTACTTCAGAAAATTTTTATGGTGTTGTCAAATAGATGGATAAGCTCATTGAGCAATACTGATACCCATAAATGCATATACTGCAATCACAAATATGGGTTCTGTTATCTACTTACTTACTAAACGAGGGTCCAATATACAGGGTGGTCCATAAAAAACAACCTACTTTACTTCCATCTCAGTTTTTATATAATATAGATATTTTTTCACCGAATTGTTCCATTTAATCCTTGCAAATTCTGCAGAAATTGGAAACCTTTAAGGCAGTCAAATTTCAGACGTCATCATCTCACTTCCAACGGACTTTCCTTGGCCACCCTTCTCGCCAGATCTCAACCCCCCCAGATTTCTCCCTTTGGGGAATACCTTAAGGAAAGAATCTATGTTTACAATCCACAAACTCTTTGAAGACCAACAGACTAGGAGAAGTAAGGAACAGTTCGGCTGATATGATTGCAAGAGTCACTGCCAATTTCAGTGTTCATGTGGCAGCCGTTATTCAGCAACGAGGAGCATGGATAGAGCACATTATCAATTATTTAAATTAGACTACCTTAAAGCCTTCCAATTTCTGCAGAATTTGGAAGGATAAAATGGTCATCCTTATAGAACAATATAATAACACGTAGGCCTATATCAAAATTGAGATGAAAGTAAAATAGGTCATTTTTTTATGGACCACCCTGTACATATATGTATATCACGATAACTTGTCATAAAATGTTTAGAGAACGTTATAATTTATTCAAATAAATCCATACTAATGAGCCGTGTGAGCAGTTGTTTATGGTAAACAGTGCGGGTTAGACCTTTACATAGCACAAAATGAATCCTCGCCAGATTTTTTTTCTTTGCATTTTGACCAAGGCGTACCCTATCGAAAACCGTTGAGAAAATAAAAATCCATTGAGCCGTTCTCAGTGAATTTAGTCGACCGAGCTAATGCGCACTAACTCCACGGGGTGACTCGCTTAAAGAGACTGATATTTAAACACGCCTGCTCCTGAAGTTGAGTAGAATACGGAAAAGCTGATCATTATACGAGTACGTTGGAATTAAGAGGTGTGTTTTGTCTCCTAACGTGATTGTATTCAGCGAGAGTCCCCTTGGAGGTTGTGTGCAATTGCTATGTCAACATAACGCATTCTGAATGGTCCTTCAGTGTTCTAGTATTCAATGTTTTATAGTTTTCAGTGTTTTCTGTAATTCTTTGGTCTACATAGGCTGCATTCAGGACAGCGGACTAACTAGTCCGCGTGGCAAATATGGCGACGGACTAAAAAGCTTCCCGTCTAATCTGCTAATAGACACTGAACAGATTCCCCTTGGGGATATATTCAAGTGGGTCAGCCATATTTGACCCGTGGACTAGTTAGTCCGCTGTTCTGAATGCGGCCATAAAATATCAGGCCTACCCAACTACCAGACGCGGCACCTACGGATCCTGAATAAACCGGTTTATCAGACCACACTACCCGTTTTCAAGGTGTGTGTCAGATCGCATTACGGAGTATCAGCCACTTCACCCATTTTGCCTGGCGCACGATGTGATAGCGATAATCCTAAGCGATACCCGGATGACAGGTAGGCTAACAAAATTTGTGATGGGGTATGATACTCCGTAATGCGATCTGACACACACCTTGAAAACGGGTAGTGTGGTCTGATATACCGGTTTATTCTTTATCCGTAGGTGCCGCGTCTGGTAGTTGGGTAGGCCTGAATATGCAGGTGTAGGTAGGCGAATGAGCTGAATTGAATTGATTAACAGCTAGCTTAATATCTTGTGGTTTGGACGCCCAAATAAGGATAACGTGACTTTTGCAACCACAATTTTACTCACTGGCCACACAAACCATGGAGATATGCACTGGCCGTAACAAGGTCAATTTATACCCACTCTTAATTAATAAGAAATTTCGTTTCCAGACAGTTGATTGGGTTTAAACAGAGGCAACGTTTAGGTATTCTTGAAATTTTATATAAGTATATAAAGATAATTTAAAATTGACTATTCTTTCATAAGATATGTTATGATATATTTCAGATGAAAATCAGCTCGATGACGTTGACGGTGGTCGCCACGGGCGTATGTCTTCTGGGACTATATCAACTGTTGTCTGTTATGACATGGCTACGTTACATGTACACAGATTACTTACAGCGATCATCCCACCTTACAATGTACCAGTTTATCACGATGAGACGACAACAAATCAAATTCAACGTTCATATCCACGATACACGGTCAATTACATGCACAAATACGACAGTGAACAGACTAGATCCGTTCCATTCTTCCGCTCTGCCATATATTGCTCATTTTCCACCGCTCAAATGTAGACGACAGACATCAGTGGCTGAAAGTAAAATTGACAGAGATGGGTACTTGACGCTTATCATCAAAAACTATTCCAGAGTAACCGATAACATACACTGTTATTATCAATACATACGACACCCGACAAAACCTTACAAAGAGGATGAGGCATTTGTTTTTAGTAAAAGGATTGATTTACCTCTAGCAAATAGAGTAAAACTTCAAGAAGATTTTGTGTATGTTTCCTGCATGAACAAATCCGGCTACAAAGTCTATGAAAATTTTCATCTCCATATGGTAAAAAGAGATGAGCATATTTTCAAAAAATACTCTGAAACAACGGGAAGACAACCAAGGCTGAATGTGTTAATTGTGATCAACGACGGAGTGTCGATGTCTGGTGCCGTTCGTTATCTTCCAAAAACAACAGAATACTTAAAAAAAGCAATGAACGGGACCATATTTCCCGGGTACCATACAGTTGGTGAAAATTCTCTGCCGAATTTTTTCCCGCTTCTGACTGGATTGCCTCATTCTGAGGCCAGTACTGATACCCCGTTTATATGGAATCGCTTCGCAGAGAAAGGCTATAAAACGTTTTACTTGGAGGACAAAGTATACGCCACCTTCACCTATATAGATCCTGCGCCTATCCGGCCGCCTACAGACTTCTACACACATCCCTTCTGGGTGGCAATGGAGAATTCTTCCTTGTATTGGGACTCACAGACTTTCTGCCTGGGCGATGAACCTATACATCGAATTGCACTTCACTATCTCGGATATTACATTAAAAATTACCAACGTCATCCATATTTTGGACTTTATTTTCTTAATGAATTAACTCATGATGTTGACAGCCCTATCCAGTTAGCAGACGTTGATTACAGAAACTTTCTGAAAGAACACAACGAAAGAGGGTATTTAAACAATACCATAATACTTTTTATGAGTGACCATGGTGCAAGGTGCGTAGAACTCTCCCCTCCATTCTCTCTCTCTCTCTCTCTCTCTTCTCTCTCTCTCTCTCTCTCTCTCTCATAGACAACCTTTAAAATCTCGTAATAACTTATTGCGCCTTTATATTTCCCTTATGCTTTACTTCTTCAAGGTTTGGCAGGCTCCGCTCCACACCTATTGGCCGCCTAGAAGCCAGTAATCCTCTGCTGATAATGGTTCTGCCCAAATGGCTCAGGAAGCAGTATCCACACATATCAGCAACTGTAAACTCGAACGCAGATCGACTGGTCACTCCATACGATATCCACGCCACGTTAGTCGATATCCTTCACTCTGATATACCAACTTATACCGAAGAAATCACCAATGGCAAGAACCGTAGAGTAGGACTTGCGAAAGGAATCAGTTTGTTCCGAAATCTCCCCAGCAGGAGGACGTGTGCCTCAGCAGGTATACCAGAAGATACCTGTACTTTATGTACACCGCTCGACACAACTTTTCTGGATATTAATTCGGAGAAAGCACGCTTCATTGCAAACGCACTGTTGGCCCAAATAAATGGAGTTCTCGTCAATGCGACATCAGGGTGTGACGTTTTACGTATTTCAGATATAACCTACATAGCCGTAACCTCTGACAGCAGGTTTTCTGTTACATACATTGTGGTTATTAAGACGATACCAGGGAGTGGGATATTTGAAGCGTCTGTGCGTGAGACGAGGGCCATGGCTTCTGACTCCGCAGAGAGCCAATACACTGTTATGACACCAGTTATACGGCTCAGTCTCTATGACAACAACTGTTGCTGTACAGAGGACAGTCGCATAAAGAAATACTGTCATTGCAAGGTGACACGAAGACAAATTCGCAGAAAGGCCTCCCCGAAAGATTATTAAAAAATTATACCATTATGCCTTGTATTTACATGTCACACAGTTGCTTAAATCTATTTTTCATTAGTTCAGTTTAACATACATATGCTTATCCATTTCATTTATTTATTAGTAATTTTACTATATTCATTTATTCATTTGCGATATTCTTATCGTACAGATCATTATGTGAATGAATCTGGTTATATTTCCAATTTTAATAAACAATATTTTATAATATAATATAGCGCCAACCTAGCCCCCTCTCTTCCATATCGCAATGGTTATGGGAAAAACTATTAAAACGTTTGACATGTCTGTATAACGTTTTGAACATTGCCTATTTCGGAAACCATATCTTACATGACTTATGGCAGAGAAAAGCAATACGTGAAGATCTTTATTATTTATTATTCATTCAAATGTAGAACATGAACATGCACCTTCTCAAACCTAATGTTCTACTGTGATTTCCATAGTGGTTAATTAAGTGTCCATACAATTGTAAAGACACAGGTAAATGCTTTCAACAAGGGCAAGGTACCTGTTTTGTGGGGTATTGTTCCATTTTTCCTGAGGATTTTGACCAAGTTGGTCCACACAGATTGCCAGAATCTTTGTTTTCTTTCAGTTTTTAATACTTTTCCAGAATTCTAAAGGGTTCTTTTTTTCAATGTCAAGAAGTTTTTCTAAAAGTTAATCTTTGAATCCTTTTTTTTTCTGTATTTTTAACAGCTTCATGATATCTATGCGATATAAAGGTGTTCTTTTGGTTACTACGCAATAGCTTTCCCAAGCTTTTTATTTTACGTCTGACTTCTGCATATGTTGCATTAAACCATGGCTGTTTCTTCGCTCTTACTGGTTTGTTTTTATTTTTTGGTACAGGGTGTTTTCGCTGAACCAATGACTCATTAGAAGTATTCTCAATTATGTCAGAAAGCGACTTACATGCAGCATTAAACCCTTCTTTTGTGGCTGGATAATTAGTATGTTGCAGTTTGCTTATTGCCAGAATATTTTCTACTTTTTCGAGGGCTTCAAAGATTTTTTGAGCAGAATCGTTTTTCCATATGTTTGCTCACTAGCCCTGAGAATGGGCGTGGAAGCAATATGAATATATTTTAGATATATACAGTAAATATATATAAGAATGTTTATAAGAAAGGGAAAGATGAGACATTAAAATTCAAATTATCGCGTGTTGTTATTAAAACCAAATAACTTTATTAGCTGACGATTTACATTATTCGATTTGTTTATAAACCGGATAAGATGAACACGTTCATATAGATCGCAAATTTACTGAACTTGTGAAAATATTGTAAGGTTCGATTTTAGGTTCACAGATCGAGAAGAAGTGAGCAACAAGAGTCGTGGATTTCCAAACAGCTTTATTCCCACTACCTAACTCCCCTCTCTACCCACCACCTGTTCTATTTATATGTACCTTAATGTCTCATTATAATAATACTTTATAATAAATCTTACTAGGCGCGGGCGCCGCGACATCCTATAGTCTAGGCGCGGGCGCCGCGACATCCTAGGGGCGTGGGACATGCTAAGGGGCCCTTTCGCGTATGCCCTAAGGACAAGGCGTTCCGCGTCACCCGTTCTAGGAATTGGGAAGGCTCTATTAGCCTTTTCTCGGAATTTTCTGTTGTAAGAGGTTAGGTTTTCGTAAGGCGACTGTATGTAATGTTCTATTTCGGTCTTAAGTCGTTCAGTCTCGTTGCACGAGAGAAAAGATCTTTGAATGTGGTCTTTTAATACCCGCCATGTAATATTTTCCCTGTCTTGTTGGGCTTGTAAAAAACGCTCTATCTCTCTTTTTAAGCTACCTCTAGTTACTCTACAGGCTAGTTTCACTTGTCCATTACTCACCGATGCCACCTGGTGTTCGGCCGAGTCTATCTCCTCCAAAAAGTCTCTTACCTCGTTTTCGTCCTGTCCGTCACATGGTCGTATCGCTGTCGCCGCTGTTTCAGGGTCTCGTTCCCTATTTCAATAAAGGCCTTCCCCTGCACCGCTTCAAGTAGGCCCTGGAAGTTTTGTATTATCTGCTGGAGTTGGGGATGACCCTCGACGTCGTTCGGCAGTGGGACCTGCGCTGCGTTTGGATTTGCCATTTTCTCTTTTGTTACTTCTTCTCAACCTGGCGGCTCGCCAATCCTGTAAGGTTCGATTTTAGGTTCACAGATCGAGGAGAAGTGAGCAACAAGAGTCGTGGATTTCCAAACAGCTTTATTCCCACTACCTAACTCCCCTCTCTACCCACCACCTGTTCTATTTATATGTACCTTAATGTCTCATTATAATAATACTTTATAATAAATCTTACTAGGCGCGGGCACCGCGACATCCTATAGTCTAGGCGCGGGCGCCGCGACATCCTAGGGGCGTGGGACATGCTAAGGGGCGCCACCGCGTCCCTTACAATATGACAGTACACGTTTGTTACGGACATCGGCCATCAGATCAATTTCGCTCCCTTGGCTCTTGATGATTTTCGATAGGCTCTGTTCTGGCCTTACTACTGTGAATATCCATCATGGCATGATCAAACATGTTCCTCATTTGTGTCCTTGGCTGGCTCTTTTACGGCCTTGCAAATATGGGGACAGGTCTATGTGACAAAAGTACGCTATGCCAAAGGAAATCCACAGCTGTAGGGCCAGAACAGAGCTCCTTAAAAACAATTAAGAGCCAAGGGACCGAATTTGATCTGAGGAATAGAGTCGGAATACACGTCCACAGTGTGAAATATGCAAAATAGCACTCTATTCCCCTTAAAAATCATTCAGGTCTGCCTTTCAATGATTTTGTTTTCGTGGCACTTTACAATGACAGTAATGTTCTAAGGGATCATACTTTGAAAACAAAGGTTGTTCTCAAGAAGACTTAGTCGTATGACTGGGGTGCTGACGGCATATTGTTTGACTGGGGAGACATGAGCCGGCTCTATTGTTTCACTTACAGACGCTTCAAATACCCCTCTCCCTGGAACTGTCTTAATAACTACACCATAAACGACATGGTGAGTACTGGTAAACGTTACAGCAACATTGAATATCCTTGAAATTCGCAACACGCTACAGGCTGATGTCACGCTGGTGTGAATGTTATTCANAGGATTTTTTGAGCAGAATCGTTTTTCCATATGTTTGCTCACTAGCCCTGAGAATGGGCGTGGAAGCAATATGAATATATTTTAGATATATATACAGTAAATATATATAAGAATGTTTATAAGAAAGGGAAAGATGAGACATTAAAATTCAAATTATCACGTGTTGTTATTAAAACCAAATAACTTTATTAGCTGACGATTTACATTATTCGATTTGTTTATAAACCGGATAAGATGAACACGTTCATATAGATCGCAAATTTACTGAACTTGTGAAAATATGACAGTACACGTTTGTTACGGACATCGGCCATCAGATCAATTTCGCTCCCTTGGCTCTTGATGATTTTCGATAGGCTCTGTTCTGGCCTTACTACTGTGAATATCCATCATGTCATGATCAAACATGTTCCTCATTTGTGTCCTTGGCTGGCTCTTTTACGGCCCCGCAAATATGGGGACAGGTCTATGTGACAAAAGTACGCTATGCCAAAGGAAATCCACAGCTGTAGGGCCAGAACAGAGCTCCTTAAAAACAATTAAGAGCCAAGGGACCGAATTTGATCTGAGGAATAGAGTCGGAATACACGTCCACAGTGTGAAATATGCAAAATAGCACTCTATTCCCCTTAAAAATCATTCAGGTCTGCCTTTCAATGATTTTGTTTTCGTGGCACTTTACAATGACAGTAATGTTCTAAGGGATCATACTTTGAAAACAAAGGTTGTTCTCAAGAAGACTTAGTCGTATGACTGGGGTGCTGACGGCATATTGTTTGACTGGGGAGACATGAGCCGGCTCTATTGTTTCACTTACAGACGCTTCAAATACCCCTCTCCCTGGAACTGTCTTAATAACTACACCATAAACGACATGGTGAGTACTGGTAAACGTTACAGCAACATTGAATATCCTTGAAATTCGCAACACGCTACAGGCTGATGTCACGCTGGTGTGAATGTTATTTATTTTGGCAAATACAGCTTCAGCAATGAAGCGCGCTTTCTGTGAATTCGTATCTAAAGAAATTGGTTCCAGTGGTGTACATAAAGTACAGGTGTATTCTGGTATACCTGCAGAGACACACGTCCTCCTGCTGGGGAGAATTCGGAACAAGCTTAATCCTTTACCTATTTCCTGTGTAAGCTTTTCGTTGCTGATTCTCTCTCCGGCAGAAGGAAAATTTGAGTGAAGGATATCAAGTAACGTGGCGTGGATATCGTATGGAGTAACGAATCGTTCTGCATTCGAGTTCACAGCTGCTGCTATGTGCGGATACTGCTGCCTGAGCCATGGTGGCAGATCCATTATTAGCAGAGGGTTTCTGGCTTCTAGGCGGCCAATAGGGGTGGAACGAAGCCTGCCAAACCTAGAAAAAACAAAGGTAAAGTACATTAAAGAGGTATAGATTACTAAGGTAAAANAGAGGTATAGATTACTATGGAAAAATGTTAAAATTACCAGTGTTTAGTGTGTGTGTGTGTGTGTGTGTGTGTGTGTGTGTGTGAGAGAGAGAGAGAGAGAGAGAGAGGTGGGGGGGGGGGCGAGAGAGATCCACCAGTACAAACCTTGCACCATGGTCGCTTATAAATAGCATAAAGGTATTGTTAAAATGCCCTTTTTCAATGTGTTCCTTCAAAAAGTCTATATAATCAGCGTCCGCTTATTGAAGAGGGACCTCAGAGTCGTGAGTAAATTCATTTGCAAAGCAAAGACCAAAATACGATTGACGTTGGTAATTTTCAATATAATGTCCCAAATACTGAAGGGCAATTCGATATATAGGATCATCGCCGAGACAAAAAGTCTGTGAGTCCCAACACAAGGAAGAATTCTCCATTGCCACCCAGAAGGGATGTGTGTAGAAGTCTGTTGGCGGCCGAGTAAGCTTAGGATCTATGAGGCTCATGGTGGCGTATTCTTTGTCTTCCAAGTAAAACGTCTTAAAGCCCTGTAATGAGAATTGCTGCCATATGAAAGGGGTATTATTTTTGGTTTCAGATTGAGAGAATCCGGTGAAAAGCGGAAAAAAGTTAGGGAAAGTGTTTTCACCAGCAGCATGGTACCCAGTAAAGATAGTCCCATTCATATCTTTTCTTAAGCATTCTGTTGTTTTCGGAATATAACGAACGGCACCAGACATCGACACTCCGTCATTGACCATAATTAAGACATTCATCCTTGGTTGGCTTCTGGGTGTTTCAGAGAATATTTTGGAAATAACCTCATCTCTTTTAACCATGGGAAGATGAAAATTCTCATAAACTTTGTATCCGGTTTCGTTCATGCAGGAAACATACACAAAATCCTTCTGAAGCTTTACTCTGTTTGTTGGAGGTAAATCGATTCTTTCACATAAAACAAAGGCCTCTTCTTTTTTGTAAGGTTTTGTTGGATGTCGTATGTATTGATAATAACACTGCACGCTGTCGGTTAGCCAGGGATCGTATTTGATTATAAGCTTCAAGTATCCGTCTCTGTCAACTTTACTTTCAGCCACTGATGCCTGACGTCTATATTTCAGAGGTGGAAAATGAGTAATATAAGGCAGAATGGAAGGATGGAACGGATCCAGTTTTTTCACTGTCGTGTTTGTGCACGTTATTGGCCATGTATCTTGTATATGGATCGTGGGATTTTCGTGCACTTGTCCCGTCGTGAAATTGACTTTGTGACGCTGCAGTCGCCCCAGATATGTATTGGTAAGGACCCATGCTACGAGGGATATCAGCTGGTATAATACCAGAAGACACAGACTGCTGTAAACCATCGTCACCGTCACTGAACCAATTTTCATCTAAAAGAAAAAATAATGGAGGAAAACGCTCATAAATAGCAGCTTGTATCATCTTATTTGCATCCTTCTTTTGATCGATTCAGGCGTTTCCTCCACGCAACACTTTGTCAAACCTGCATGTATTTGTAGCAGTATATATATATATATATATATATATATATATATATATATATATATATGCCACTTCTTTGTTCTCCTTTACAGTCATTCTCACGCAGTACGGTTAAAATGTAACTTTACAGGATAACAACTGTTCATTTTAACCAAAAATGAATTTTCCTGGGGTAAACGACAATTTCCATACACTGACCAATGGTTAATGAATCCATTTCTACATTCAAGGTTAGTCCTTGTTTTTTTCTAGAATAATTGTTTTTTTTCTAATAATTTCTTAAGGGATTATTACAGAGCATAGGCATCTATTGAGGCCACGTGATCCGATGAAATGCACGGATTTCAGAATCATTTCTATTTGCCGTTTTTGTGGTAAAATAGAGTATATTATATTTCTATGAGTTATTTACAATGCATCCGTAGTGAAATGCAGATCTCATACAAAGAGTCGTTATCCCTTTAAGCATATATCCTTTTCTAATTTACATGTAGCGATAGTTATATACACATTATACGTACGCCTCTCCTGTGTTGTTTTCGACATCCATGGCCCTTACATAATATGATTGTGCATGTAACTTGGCACGGGGGAGCATATATTTTTTTTCTTATGCTCCTTTCTATGTCATTTTAAACAGACATGCATTTCAATAAGATCTACAAGACCATAATGATTTTAATGTATAGACGACATCCTCTGGAGACCCCGAAACTAATGCGAAGGGGCAATTAAAATCAGAAAAAAAATGTTGCTGAGTGAAATACAGGAATACACAGCTGGAAATGTAAATTGAACACAGCGTATCAAACAAGTAAGATGTCTTTATCCTTTTCGCTCTGGAAACCTAAATATTCAGCAGTCCAAGGTAGTCAACTGCTTTATCTCAGTGTATGAAACAAAACGTCATACCTCGCGCAGAGAATATTAAAGAATCTTTCTCATCTCTTCATCTCTGCTTCATATCTGTATCATACAAGCAACTGTACGTACTATAGATCGACTTTAAGGTCACCATATCATATACCTCAATGTTCCTCCCATTTCTATCGTCGTTTTAAAAGAAACGTGTGTGAGCCGATAGGACGTCTTTGAAACAGTCGCCATAATCGCCCGCTGCCGCCAGTCTCTCGGTTATTTGAAAAATTGTTATATCCCCCCCCCATACGAAACTACAACCGCCCCACCCGTTCTCTTGTTAACTTTCATTTTTTATGTATTTTGATGATAACGACAACGCGTTAGCCCTCAATGCGCATGTGCAGAAGTTTCGTTTTGTGACAAATTCGGCCTTCAAAATATATTTGCAGGTTAGAGTCATCATAACTCTTCGTTTTGGCCAAAAATTGGATTTTCCTGGAGTAAACAACAATTTTCCCGTACTTACCAATGGTCAACGACCCCATTCCTGCATTCAAAGTTAGTCTAGGGTTTTTTCCCTAAAAGTTTGGTTTTTTGTTAGAATCTCTAGAGATTTTAACAGACGGAGCCCTCTCTCTTATTGCATAGTCACGCGATATCGAGCAAGGTTTTCTGGTGACCTACTTAAAACCGCGGGAAAAGCAGACAACAACAACACTATATAACAATAATATAATATTCGTACGATATATGCGCCTTATTGCTCAAAATGCACTTATGTCTACAATGTGTGCAGTTCTGGGCTTTTTGTTATCCGACGCACTGTACAAAAACTCGCAACTTAATGTCTGAGGATTGCATCATGCGTCTGCTATCTCATTTCCCGCCATATGTTATTTTGGTCTCGAATGAACGCGAGAATCCGCGTGACGCCCAAAGTCATTGCCAACGGATGCCTTGACGACCGGAAAGAAAGGCATCGAAAGCCCTATTGACAAGCACAGTTTTTAGTTTTACTACAATAACAGCCGTTTATAGTGGTGAAATGCAATATAATATATGTCCATGCGTTGTTTACAATGTATTTCTTGCGGAATTTTGAATCTCAAAGGAAGAGTTATTATTGCTTAAAAAGAAAGTAGCATTCAGTATGACACAAGGTTGGACATCATCAAAAAATCTACGACACAAAGGAGCTGATATTGAAAGATTCTGTCTGAATGATGGGATACTCCAGCTTGCAGGGAATTTTTGAATGTTTAAAAGTGTATTCCAAAGGTGGCACAGGCCATCTTTTTCTTTTTCATTGCAACACATTTTCAATTTGTTTCATTTGGCTCATGTCGCCTGACTACTCCCCCCCCCCTCGACCTTAACAATCTGTATACAGTGGAAAGTATAAATGTAAGCACTCCTAAATTCTGTTAATACTTTTTAGGGGCGGACTTTCTGCGCAATGGTTTTGTTGTCATTTTACAGTGACAGTACTTATTCAGGCTTTTGTCTTCAGTGCAGCAACAGTTGCTGTCGTAGGCACTTAGTCGTATGACTGGGCTGATAACAGAGTATTGGGAGACAGAAGCCGTTGCCCTCGTTTCACGCACAGACGCTATAAATATCCCTCTTCCCGGCACTGTCTTAATAATAACATTATAAATAACACAGGGTTTGCTGTCCGATGTTACGGATATATAGGTGATATTTAATATACTTAATACGTCACACTCTGGTGTAGCATTAAAGAGAACGTCATTGATTTTGGCCAATACGGCGTTAGCAATAAAGCATGCTTTCTGTGAATTAATATCTAGAAAAGCCGGTTCCTGCGGTGTACATAAAGTACAGGTATCTTCTGGTATACCTGCTGAGGCACACGTCCTCTTGCTGGGGAGATTTCTCAACAAACTTATTCCTTTCGCAATTCCTTCTCTACGTTTCTTGCCATTGGTATCCTCTTCGCTAATTGGCAAATCAGAGTGAAGGATATCGACTAACGTGGCGTGGATATCGTACGGAGTAACCAATCGCTCTGCGTTCGAGTTTACAGCTGCTGCTATGTGTGGATACTGCTGCCTGAGCCATGGTGGCAGAACCATTATTAGCAGAGGATTACTGGCTTCTAGGTGTCCAATAGGGGTGGAGCGGAGCCAGCCAAACCTAGAAGAAACGACAGACTTAAGTGAATATAAATGGTCAAGACATCACGTTTGTGGGGCCTTCGTTAAAAGTATGAATGAGAATGAAGTGAGAATGTGAGAGTTTGACAGAGAGAGAGAGACAGGATTCTTCGTAATGAACAGAAAGAGGTCAGCTCTTCCCAGCTAGAACGGGAGCCCTGTCTGCCCGCGGTAGCCTAGGCTGCCAGACAGACTTCCAGGGAGACTGCTTTTTTGCAGTATGGAGCTCCAGTGTGCAGTCTCCTTGAGCAGCTAGACTGCAAAGGTGGCTGCAATTACTTAAACATTTTGCAGGGGACTGCAAAGGAGGCTGCAATAACTTAAACATTTTGCAGGGGCCAACGTATGCAATAAACAACCCAATAGTTATTTAAAAAGTGTTTCTCTTTGCAACTGAGAAGCACATGTGCTAATCTTTTGATCAGTAACTTATAGTTATCAGGCTTAAAAGAAAACAATTTTTTTATGAAGAGCTTGTCAAAATGACTTTAAAATTGTTTGGGTAAAAAGCAGTTTTCGGAATTATCCTCCAAGCTATAAACACTCATATATAGTACATGTCCTTCACCTATAAAAATAACTGAATGAACAGATTTATATATATATATTTAATAATGCTGTGAAAATGTTATTTTTATTATTATTGATATTATTATTATTGAAATCAGACAAATGATTGAGGTCTTATTATAATAAACAATTGCATAATATATAAATTTTAAACCTCATAGTTAGCATCAATTTAAGTCGGACTTGTGATTAAAATTAACTGGTAACTTTCTATAGACCATTCATTTCAAGCCAGGGACATGTGTATCTTAACTGTCAGTTTGATATAAACAGTTCGCCTACAGATTGCTCAATCAGGTCAAATAACTATACATAGTACAGTTGAATTTAAGCACATGAGCAGGCAGTAACTATAACGGTTGAGCTGTTTGAAAAATCTAAGCCAGAAGCAAGGTCAGGAATGTTCTAAGGAAGATGCAAGAAAAGTGTTGATTTCTGGATTGAAAAAGAAGACATTCTTTGGAAAATTAGAAAGAAAAATGAAGAGACAAAGAGACAGGATAAGAAGTGAGCATGCAAGTCTTTTGGATTTGTATTTTCCTGTAATTTACTGATGCACCAGGATCCATAGAGCCTTGGAAAGTGTTCAATTTTAGACCAGCACTTTGAATTCTGTTTGTGGTTTTGAAAAGTACTTGAAATTGCTATTAGGCTAAAAAAGGTTTGCATTTAACCATTTTGGTCCTTGTCAAAATATTATTTCAAACTTTGTAGACAATAATTCACAAATGGGGATAATGCCTTTTAAAACATCTTTTTAAAATACTTTTCATCGTCAGTGTGTTAAAAATACGAAGTTTAAATGAGTCTTATTCCCTTCGGTATGTACACTTTAAAAATTCTATTAATAACTTGCCCTCATTAGTTAAAAAACTTTGAAAATTACTTGAACTATTGCTCTTATATGTGTCAGTACTTGTATGAATACTGGCCAGTGAATTCTGAGATAGAGTTTTGGAATGATTAAATAATGAACAGTAAAATTCCTAGGCTTCTGCTAATATGGGTTTTGTAGAAAAACATATATGTAAAATAGTAAACTGAAGTAAATAGTATGGAGAGAAATAAACCAATATGTTAGATAAATGGATCAGATAACTTACATTTTATGATTAAGGGGAAATTTTGTATTTAGATTTGAAATATACATACTTTGGAGAAAGATTATTACTAGATTTCTTCTGATTAATGTAATTATTGTTTGAATATATACATGTATGAGTTGCAAAAACGATAAAAAAATGCCAAATTTTATTTTGCTGAGCAAACTGCTAAGGAGACTGCAGAGTAGACTGATAGAGGGGCTACTAAGCACACTGCTAGGGGGCTGACAAGCAGACTGCTAGGGGGACTGCCAAAGCAGCGTTCCAAAAATGCAAATTAAGACTGCCAAGGGGTCTCCCTCCATACTTAAGGATACCTGCAAAGGAGACTGCAGTGAGAGCGGGGACTGCTAAGGAGAGTGCAAAGCAGGCTCCATAGGGGGACTGTAAAGGAGACTGCATTTCTAGCTGGGGTTGAATCTATTAGTTTCTAATGAGGGAGAAAGAGATAGTTTTGCGCGAAAAAAGGGATAAGAAGTTAAAATTTATCAGTTATAAATGTGCGCTCAGTAAGGTAATGAGGAAGTGTGTGTGTGTGTGTGTGTGTGTGTGTGTGTGTGTGTGTGTGAGAGAGAGAGAGAGAGAGAGAGAGAGAGGATGAAGGGTAGCTCTATATATATGTACCGTGAACCATGATCGCTCATAAATAACATTATGGTATTGTTAAAATGTCCTCTTTCCTTGTGCTCTTTCAGAAAGTCTCTGTAATCAGCGTCTGCCAACTGGATGGGGACTTCATCATCATGACTTAATTCATTGAAGAAATAAAGACAAAAATACGATTGGCGTTGATAATTTTCAATATAATATCCCAGATACTGAAGTGCAATTCGATGTATAGGAACATTACCCAGGCAGAAAGCCTGTGAGTCCCAATACAAGGAAGAATTCTCCATTGCCACCCAGAAAGAATGTGTGTAGAAGTCTGTTGGGGGCCGAGTAAGCTCAGGATCTATATATGTGAAGGTGGCGTGTAATTTGTCCTCCAAGTAAAACGTCTTATAACCCTGTTCTGAGAAATGATTCCATATAAAAGGAGCTTCAATACTGGCCTCAGAATGAGGCAATCCAGTCAGAAGCGGGAAAAAATTCGACAGGGAATTTTCTCCAACGGCATGGTATCCGGGAAATATGGCCCCATTCATTTCTTTTCTCAAGTATTCTGTTGTTTTCGGGAGATAACGAACGGCACCAGACATCGAGACTCCGTCGTTGATCACAATTAACACATTCAGCCTTGGTTGTTTTCCCGATGTTTCAGAGTATATTTTTGAAACAAGCACATCTCTTTTTACCATGTGAAGATGAAAATTCTCATAAACTTTGTATCCGGTTTCGTTCATGCAGGAAACATACAAAAAATCCTCCTGAAGTTTTACTCTGTTTGCTAGAGGTAAATCGATCCTTTCACTCAAAACAAAGGCCTCTTCTATTTTGTAAGGTTTTGTTGGATGTCGTATGTATTGATAATAATAGTGTATGTTATCGGTTACTCTGGAGTAGTTTTTGATGATAAGCGTCAAGTATCCGTCTCTGTCAACTTTGCTTTCAGCCACTGATGCCTGCCGTAAACATTTCAGCGGTGGAAAATAAGTAATATAAGGCAGAATGGAAGGATCGAACGGATCCAGTTTTTTCACTGTCGTATTTGTGCACGTTATTGGCCATATATCTTGTATATGGATCGTGGGATTTTCGTGCATTTGTCCCGTCGTGAAATAGACTTTGTGACGCCGCAGTCGCCCCAGATATGTATTGGTTAGGACCCATGCTACGAGGGGTATCAGCTGGTATAATACCAGAAGACACAGACTGCTGTAAACCAGAGTCGCCGTCACTGAAACAATTTCATCTGAAAGAAAAAAAATAATAGAGGAAAACGCTCATAGATAGCTAGGATCCAAGATAGATAGTTTAAAAATGGTCGTTGTAAATAAGATTTTTTAATTGACAAGGTTGTAATGTCACTTACATAAAATATATACGAAAGTTGTTTCATCTCCGAATCTTTTCGGTAAGGTCACTTTTAAAATTCATTGTTTGGCAAGATTTTATACTAAAGATCTCTGTATCAGAGTAGAATGATCAAAGTAGAGTGAAGCCACCGCGGATGATCACTTATTTGCGACCATGCCAACCTTCGATCTTTATGTCAGCGAGCTAGGGTTAGGCTCTTTTTTAGCAGAAAGTAAGACACGATAATTAACCAACGGGGCAGGACATGGTATTTTTGTTAGCAGAAACCTAGCAGCGCATGGATGACAATGTTATTTCCATGGTTACGCCAGGCCGTATGAACAACCCGCAGGGACCCGCAGAGTAAGTAAGAGGGCACTGTATATATACCAGTAGATTTATTTATCTATTTATTATGGAAGGTTTTAGTTGCGTTTAAGAACAGTGAAGGTTATTAAAAAACATTTAACACCCATACCTTATCTATATATTTCTCTTAAGCTTGTATCAGCTTCTTTGCAGCCTTCGTTTGATCGATTCAAGCGTTTCCTTGAAGTTTAAAAGCAGTTTTCATCTGATTTGACAGTGCTCCGCCATATGTGTACTGCCTTTGTTTACGAAATTTAGATCAGGCAACTTGTGGCTGCATGGAAAAGCCGAACACTTTATAAAACCTGCATGTATATGTAGCAGAAGTTATATATGGGCCACTTCTTTTTTCTACTTTACAGTCATTCTCACGCAATGCGGTTAGAAATGTAACTTTAAAAAGATAACAACTGTTTATTTTAACCAAAAATTAATTATCCTGGGGTAAACGACAATTTCCTCACACTTACCAATGGTTTATAAATCCATTTCTACATTCAAAGTTAGTCCCTTTTTTTCTTAAATAATTGTTTTTTCTCTAATAATTTCTTAAGGGATTATTACAGAGCATAGACATCTATGGAGGTCACGTGATCCGATGAAAGGCAGGGATTTCAGAATAATTACTATTTGCCGTTTTGTGGTAAAATAGAGTATATTATATTTCTATGAGTTATTTACAATGTATTCGTTGTGAAATATAGATCTCATACAAAGAGTCGTTATCCCTTTAAGCATATATCCTTTTCTAATTTCCATGTAGCGATAGTTATATACACATTATACGTACGCCACTCCTGTCTTGTTTTCGACATCCATGGCCCTTACATAATATGATTGTACATGTAACTTGGCACGGGGAAGCATATATCTTTTTCTAATGCTCTTTTCAATGTCATTGTAAACAGACATGCATTTCAATAAGACCTACAAGACCATAATGATTTAAATTTATGGCAGACATCCTCTGGAGACCCCGAAACTGGATTGCGGTGGATTATGAACTAGATTTGCAAAAAGCCAGGTTCTTACGGTATTTTGCGTGGGTACTGACTTTGAAAGCAGTCAGTTTCGGATTTTTTATTGAGTTATTATTTTTTTTAACAGGTGCAGATTTTTTAGGGCGAGGAAGTCATTCGTGACATTTATATCATTGTGGCCTTAACAAATGGAACAGTCAAGCATTTTAATATAATTCTATTCGGTTGAGCGAAGTGAATAAGAATGGAATTATTTTCTCCTAGGGGGCGACACTGTATATATTGTGTTAGTTGTGATATTGGTAAGAATTGTGGGTAAGTCAGTTACGATAGTTGTTCATTCGACCAGTTAGCGCAGACCAGTTGACACGTAAATTTTTATTTTCAATTTTTGTTTATGGTTTTGTTGTTTTAATTTTATTAGTACATGTGATTCTTTTTGTTTTATAATTACCTTGGTTATTGCTGCAGTGGCTATTTTTATTTTTTTCAATGTTTTGTTATCAAAAGAAGTATAGTGTATGTTGTGTTAGAGTGTAGGCGTACAGTGTGCATGGGTGCGTGTTTGGGGGTGCGATTTATGTTTATTCATATATTAATTTAATGATTGATTTATATGAGCTGTTTGGGAGGTAGTTTGCACTTGTGTAGTGGAGAGATAAGTTCGGAGAAGGTGTTTGGGAGGTGGTCTCTGGTGATTTCCTATGTACGGGAGAAATGAGATAGGAAGTGCTTGGGTTGTGATATTCTGTTAAATCCCCATGTAAGAGAAAGATGAGCTCGGGAGAGCTGTTGGGATGTTATATCCTTATGATTCCCTAAAAAGGGAAAGGTGAGCTCGGAAGAGCTGTTTGGGATGTGATATCCCGGTGATTCCCTATGAGAGGGAAAGTTGAGCTCGGAAGAGCTGTTTGGAATGTGATATCCCGGTGATTCCCTAGGTAAGGGAAAGATGGGCTCAGAAGAGCTGTTTGGGATGTGATATCCCGGTGAATCCTTTTTATATATAAAAGAGATGATACAGAGGTTTGGTGAGGAGAGAGTCTCCTCGTGTTTATAATTTATTTACCTAATTATTTATTTTTATTGTTTGTAAATGATTGAAGATGGTTTGAAATAAAACTCGTGCGCTAACTGCGTCCATATGCACTTTATATGTTGTTTGTGTTATTTTATTATTAATGTTATGCAGTGTCGATTATTGTCTAGGAAAAAGATAGTGAAAATTGGTGTAATACTGGACCTTACGTTAATACGGATGCCCGGGCGTTTGGAAATTATCACAAGGACTATTGTATTTTACAAATTGTTAGACAATAAGAGCTCATGCAGTGAAAAAATGAACGTTTAACTTGCACAATCCTCGACTTGGTGGTACGTCATGGGAGGCCAGGAATTGACCTCAAACTGTGACGTTTTTAATGCTGAAAACAAACACATAATAACCTGAATTTTTATCTTGTTACTCATAACAAATTCCGCTTTATAAGGTTTGTCGGGTTTCGTACGTAAGCCTATTGATAATAACAGCGTGCGCTATCTATGGAGTCTTTTGATGACAAGCGTCAAGAATCGTCCGTTTCTATCAACTGCTTCAAAGGCAACTTTTTGCGCATGTGTGCCTAGTGTATTATATATATAATTAACCAACGGGGCAGGACATGGTACTATTGTTAACAGAAACCAAACAGTGCATGGATGACAATGTTATTTCCATGGTTACGCCAGGCCGTATGAACAACCCGCAGGGACCCGCAGAGTAAGTAAGAGGGCCCTGTATATATATCAGTAGATTTATTTATCTATTTATTATGGAAGGTTTTAGTTGCATTTTAGAACAGTGAAGGTTATTAAAAAGCATTTGACAGCCATTATACGTGATCCGATGAAAAGCATGGATTTCAGAATAATTACCATTTGCCGTTTTTGTAGTAAAATAGAGTGTTATTATATTTCTATGAGTTATTTACAATGTATTCGTTGTGAAATATAGATCTCATACAAAGAGTCGTTATCCCTTTAAGCATATATCCTTTTTGTAGTTTTCGACATCCATGGCCCTTAAATAATATGGTTGTACATGTAACTTGGCACGGGGAAGCATATATATCCTTTTGTAATGCTCTTTTCAATGACATTTTAAACAGACATGCATTTCATGGAAGATATTGTTGCCAAGCAAAATACACGAATACACAGCTGGAAATGTAAATTGAACACAATGTATCAAACAAGTAAAACGTCTTAATCCTATTCGCTCTGAAAACCCTAAATATTCAGCAGTCCAAGGTAGTCAACTCAGTGTATCAAACAAAACGTCATACCTCGCGCAGAGAATAATAAAGAATCTTTCTCATCTCTTCATCTCTGCTTCATATCTGTATCATACAAGCAACTGTAGATAATATAGATGCATTTTAAGGTCACCATATATTGGTACCTTAATTTCCCTCACATTACTCTCGTCGTTTTAAAAGAAACGTTTATGAGGCGATTGGACGTCTTTGAAGCCGTCTGTACGATAGTCGTCCGCCCCCACCAGTCTCTCGGATAGTTGAAAAAATGTTATGTCCCCCCTCCTCCCCACCAAAGTCGATTGCATACCAATCGACAACTCACCCACACCCCCCGTTTTCTTGTTAACTCTCATTTTTATGTATTTTGATCATGGCAACAACGCGACCGCCATCTTTGCATTCACGTTAGCCGGTGTGGCATGAATCGTTCGGAGCGTGAACCATCCGTTCTGCCCATGCGCACAAAGCACAGGCAAATCTGAGAGACTTCCGGCGTGTACGGTCCATCTCTATCGACTTTAATAAACCTACACTGTTGAGAACATACTGCATATTCAAACAATAATGTTTAGAAATATTCATATCTTATAGTTGTTCACCTCTACTGCGATTTCTCTCAGGTGGCCATATAAACACACTGGCCAAGTAAAATCAATACAATAATACATGTAGTAGGCCAACACCTGAATAACGACGGCCCGTTCATCCAAGCGTTGAACTGTAATTTGACGCTGATTCTCTATCAAAATCATCAATTAAAATTCTGTATTAACACATGGATTTTACCTAGAAACATACCCACTATAATAAATATATTATGAGGCGGGAAACGAACAAGACACATCATTGCATAGGTGAATAACAACGGATCATCCACGGAACGTTTCATACACGCATCTGCTGCATGTATAATCGGTCAGGACGGATGGTTCACGCAGAACGGACCGTACACGTGACACCGGTATGACGGGACCCAGAGTCTGCTGTCCGGGTGTATTAAAAAAATCAATAATAAAATAAATAAAAAAGCTAAAATCCATATTATTCTCGATATCGAACACACAGAATCATTTAGTAGTGTCCTTACCATATCCTTGACAGGTGTCGGTCGCAGTACCACGAGGCCATGAAGTCGCTGCGCCAAACCTCGGAATTTTCTAACTAAATAAGGTCTAATGCATAATTACTTTTCCTTCTTTGTATTAAGATATGTGTGTGTGTGTGTGTGTGTGTGTGTGTGTTCTATTCATAATAAGGATTTTAGCTTTTTTATTATTTTAATATTTTTCTTTCACAAAAACGTTTTATTTGGAAAAGTCAATTGGAGCAGAGGTGAGGTGCTTTAAACATTCAGTTTAAATGTATAACGTAAAAAAGCTCCCAGAAAATACGTTGGCAGTGTTACATGTTTAGCTATGTGTTTAGCTTCACCAGCACATGATTCTATAATAAGCCTATCGCAAGCTAAGCACACTGGCTAAGCACTTTCCCTGCTAAGCGCGTGAGGCTTCTAAACATATGGAGCTGCTATAGATGTGGAAGATGTGGAACTCCTAAACGCGTGGAGCTGCTGAACAACACGTTTAGCTTTTCAAGCTTGTCACAGAAAAAAAAACTTCACAATCCCATCTATACGATCCCATAACAAGTTTATTACAAGACTCAACAATTTGGCTTAGCATTTCCTCGTGTAAACGTATGGAGCTGTTGGAGGCGTGGAGCAGCCTGCTCGAACGCGTTGTGTCCTACCTTGCAGTAACGTGTGATTATTTAAAATAGGACTATTAAGTAATAATCCAAATAACAAATTCACGACGTTATCAGCTGGTTACATGATGGTGTTGGTATAGAATAACGTTATGGTAACGTTATGGGTGTTTTTAACTTTATGCAAAATGATGCCCCTGCAGTTTTATAAGCGTTTTATAACATTCTGGCAAAACATTATTTAATGTTTTGAAGACCTTTTTTTATAAATAATTAAAACACGTCTTATGCTGTACTAAGATCTAATAGGTCTAT